GTGGTGGCTGTGGTGGCTGCAGCAGTACCCCGTGGTCTGCTGCTGCTGCCACTCCTGTGGCTGCCGCTTTGTGGTGGCAGCTTCCGTGGCTCTGGCTCCCGTGGCTGTGGTGGTGGGAAGGGCTGTTGCCAGCAGAAGAGCTATTGTAAGAAGCAGTGCTGCTGCTCGGTGGCTGGCCGACCTCTGGGAAAATGCTGCAGGGGACAAGCTCACTCCTGGCTTAGATCTTCAGACATTTTGAACTTTCTTCTCTTCTGGTTCACCTAAATATCAAGCTTGTAATTTAATAGAAAGACACCTGATTAGAAGTCAGAAGTACCAAATTCAAGTTTATGGTCTGCCAGAGCAACCTGACCATGAACAAGTCACCTTAGCCTCCCTGAGTCTTACAGTCTTCCTTACTCGTCTGCGAAAGAATAAGGTTGAACTTAAAAGTTTCTGATGACCTTTATAGCTTCTGCAGCACATGAATCTATAAAGTTCTCTAAACTAAATTCACATTTTCCCCACCTCACAGATTCCCTTATTTACTTTGGCTGTGGTAGGCATTAAAATCTGTTTATATATGTGTGTGTGTATGTATATACAACATACAAATAGACAAATAATTTTCAAACCAATATGCTCTATCAATCAAAATCCACACTGCAAAAAAAAAAAAAAAATCCACACTGCAAAAAACTCTCACTTCTGAGGTGCAAAAATTCACATTAAAGAACTCAGTGGAATGAAATAATGCTTTTTAATATATTTCATTCTTTTGAAATATTTACTTTTGTGTTTGTTGAACTTCCGCACTTATATTCCTACTTATATTAATTATGTACCATACATTTCTTATAATTTCTAGTGTTCTCACATTTTCCTAAACAAATTCTTTTAATAAAACAGCAGAAGTCAAATTCAGTGATCCAAGGTTCAGTCACTAGCCTTGAAGTTGTGGAGGCTTAGTGGCAGCAACAGAGGCCATGGCTTTCTGGACCATAGTTCTAGAGGTATATGCTTGAACTCAATTATTCCAGAAGGTGCTTCTTGATATCTCTCCCTTCTGACTACAGCAGGTGCAACAGCTCCCCACGGGCCCATTCATTAGTCATGTCCTGAGAGGCATTTCTGGAAGCCAGCCTAGAATCTGCCCTTCCAAACCTCCCAATAATTTATACATATAATTTCCCAGTTATAGCTCTAAGACTTTTGGTTTTCTGCAACTGACACTGGTACATGAATGTCCCCTGACCATCATTTTGTGTCAAATTCTAGCCACCCTCCAAAGCCTGGAGGAATCCTGGCTCCCTGCCCATCTTGATAGAATCCTTCCTTTTTCTGAACTCTTTTTGCTCCAGCAGGGCATGTGAGAAGTTATTTCTGTTCTTTTCTATCCTTGATTTTTGTAACAGTTGGTTTTAGCTTTTTTGGGGAATTGTTAAAAAAAGAAAAAAAGAAATCCATTTAAAATAGTGTAAAAGGAGCAATTGATTATAATATAGAGGCACCTGACAAAACCCAAAGGCAGAACCTACAATCAATCTTCATAGGGTAGGAACCAAGAAGAAAGCCTTTGAGAAGCAGCTACTCTTTCTCTATCTCCCTCTAAAACCCCATGGTCTCTCACTTCTTTCTACACATCTGCATCTTCTCTTCTTCCTCTTCCTTCTTTTCTGCAGTCTGGTTTCTCTTTTTCCCCTGGCACAGCTCATGAATTTATAGGACCTGTAGAGAATGCTAATTGTCCTCCCAGTACCCTCTGTCTCCTATCCCCCCACCCCATTTTAACTGGGCACAAATCACTTGAAGTAAATATTACTTAATCCCCAGACTCCCTTGCAGCCAATGTTGTCCCATGGCTACATTCTAGCCAACGAGCAGCTCTTTAAAAGGGAGAAGGTGGACCTTTCTCTTCCTTTATCCTTCTGAGTGGAGAATAGATATGACAGTTAGAGAACTGGCCGCCATAGTTTAAGCATGAGAATGAAGGGATCAAAGAGATGGTGGCTCCATAAACTGGAAGGATCTCTGAGGAAGTGGAGCTATCTTTAAGGCTCTTGAGTGCCTACCTTCAGACTTCTCGAGAAGAACTAATTTGTATCTCACTTAAGCCATTGTTATCCTGAATTTCTTTTTACGTGCACCTAAAGACTAATCCTAACTGATAAGCATGTCCTCCCATTTCATGCATAGCAGAGAATAACTAGTATCTTTTTAAATTCTCAACTCCTGAGAGAGATTGGAAGAGCTAAGCTTCTATATCTACTGGTATTGCTATCAGCAATGACCATGGGAGCAATTCCATAGTACAAATGAGATACAGAGGGTCTACTCATGCAAGTTGTGGGGATTGTTTTTACAGAAGGAAGCATGTGGGTCAGAAAGGTTGACCCAGACCTTAAATTTGTCTGTTCTGCTCCTTCTCTTCATTTGTAAATGGATTCCCTTTTCTGCTTTATCCCTGTCTTTCCCTTCATAATACAGACTATAGTTCTACATTTTAACAGTTTTTCAGTTACTTACTTTTAGCCACAAGTGTAAAGAGTATCAAACCCAAGCAGAAGTAAATTTTGTTATGGCTGCTAGCAAAGCATGCTATTTAGTTTTGGTCTTAGAGTCCTGTAGTCAGGTGGAGTCTAACAGATTCAGGTCCCTATGAGTAAACTTGTACCTAAACAGTTCTTTAATTCAGCTCCTTGTGAAGATGGGAAAGGATTTAAAATTGCAAAGTCCACATCTGAAAATAAGTAACTGCCTTTCCCATGCAGTCATCTCAGTAATAAATATATAATTTACTTATATATTATTATAATTCTAGTCATATAATTTGTATAATTCAAGGGGGTGGCAGTTTTGTTGTTGTTGTTGTTGTTGTTGTTGTTGTTGTTTTGTTTTGTTTTGTTCTAAGAAGGCTCCATGCCTAGTGCAGAGCCTGGTGTGGGGCTTGAACTTATGACTCTGAGATCAAGACTTGAACTGATATCAGGAGTCAAACGTTAACCAACTGAGCCACCCAGGTGCCCCAAGTAATCATTAATTTTTATAAAATAAATATGAAATTATTCTAGATAGCTCAACCATGCAGAAGTATACAAATCATATGATGGAAGTACCCCCTTTCGCTCAGCGCCACTAGTGTGATCTTCCATACCGGCGTTCCTTCCATCATTATCCGTGGTGTGCTATGGTGATGGGTGCAGTATTCTTTTCTTAATTTAATTTTATAATTTTTTATTTTTATTTATGATGGTTGGGGTAGTCTTAATTTGTTTGGAACTAGAAACTGGAACTGATGTTTCAGGGTTGGCCCGTGGAACCCACACAGTGTGCCCTCCTGCTTCTACAGGTTGGCATGCTCCTCTCCAAGACCATGACGCCTGAGCTTATGGATTGTATTGACCCCACTTCTGCATTCACTCATCCTTCCATTCGTCATTCCCAACAGCATCTGTTGAAACCATGCTCTGGGCTGCAAAGCCGATTACTCAGCAGCAGGAGGAAGGCATGGTAGGTATTAGAGCTGCCTAATGTTTGACTCTCTTCTGAACACATATCAGTTTGTATTTCATCACGCACTTGAACCCAAGCATAACTGAGTGACCGTTTGGCCAAGAAAGTGTGAAAAGACTTGATGTGGCTCTTCTGGACAAAAAAATGTTAAGACTCACCACATCTTTTTACTCTGACTCCACAACTGTGAAAGCTGGGATAGATTTGCACCCCTGAATCTCTTGGTAACAATGGTGAGCAGAGCCCTCTTGGTGATCTATGATGGCCAATTAGTATGAGTGAGAACTTTGGTATTTAAAAGGCTATCCCAATGGGTGGAACTTTTCTTGAGGCACTCACAAAGTAGTAGGGAGACAACATGAAGCCCCAGACCAGAAATGTACTGTGCATAACCAAGTAAGTGCTCAAGGTTCGAAGAAAATAAGACATGATGATCTGCGCCTCCATCTCATATTCCTGTTTCATTCTGGTTTCCATACTTGAACACTGCCGGTCTTCCAGTGTTAACAGAAACTCCCACCAGCCTTAGACAGGCCACTTCTAACTGGATTTGTCTATAAGACTGGGATAATATGACTTCAGATTTTTAAAAAATTTTGTGTATGTGAGCATACAGGAAAACATACTTTATATAAAATGGATATTCTTGTTTTTAGTTTTTATAAGGCATACTAGTAAAAGGTATTAAGGAAACATATCTTAAGACCATCCTTTTTCTTCTTTGCTTTTTTTTTTTTTTGGTTTTCATCTCTTTATTTTCTTGCATAAATGTATCTAACAGAAACTACATATTTTTTCCCACCTTCGATCCCCTATGGAGCTGTGGAGAGTGACCTTTATCTGCATTATTACGTGGGTGACAAGGGCAAGTTTGACCATGTGTTCCTGCATCAGTTCCCATCTGATGAGATATTGAGATGTGCCAACAACAACAATTACACAAATGATGTCATGATCAGGCTATGTACATGAAAGTGTGACGGAGATGCTGAGGACAATAATTGATGGCAGTGTAATAACCAGAGATGGTGCTCTGTGGCCTCCTCTTGATAGGCTGCACTGGCAGGAGCCTGAAATTGTTATTGGACATGAACACACTTCTTTAACAACATCAAAAATTAGCTCTCTTACTGATGTCAGTCAATCCAAGGGTCTAGAAGTCTTACATGTATTTTATTATCTTACCCAGGACCTGAAGTGTTTTGTCTTCAGTCTTACTGGATTATACTTCTGGATTAAGCCACTGTAGATTGAATATTGGGGTGGACATGTTGGGGGGGGTGGGAGTAACTGTTTTTCATAACCATTATCAGGAAATTTTTTTTGTGTAAACTATAAGTGGTTGTCATTAATAAATATTTAACAAACTACAAAAAAAAAAAAAAAGAAAGAAAGAAACCCAACTTACTTCCTCTACCAGTTCTCATAATAATGCCTTGCCCTCCTGGATGGACTCTGAACTTTCCACAGTTATTTTTCATAAGTTCTAAACTTTAACTAGAAGGCTCAGGATAAAAGGCAAGACAGTGCCACACCAGCAGCCACACTGACAGGATTTCTCATTGAACCAGGGGGTGACCATGACGTGCTGTGAGGGATGGACATCCTGCAATGGATTCAGCTTATTGGTTCTACTTATATTGGGAATAGTTCTCAATGCAATTCCTCTCATTTTCAACTTTGTGGATGAAGGCAAAGTTGTTCACAACCCCAACTCTTGCTTCGAGTGGTGGTTCCCAGGGATTATAGGAGCAGGTGTGATGGTGAGTAACATTTATTTGGCTTGATTTGGGGAAAGGGATGCCTATTTTACCAAACTCCCAAACACCATCTTTCAGCTTGATGGTGGGCTATGCCTTGGCTGGGGATATCGTCAGGAGCAGTGGAATGGTATTAATGGTATTAATTCACTGGCATCAGTGAAGAATGAAAATTTAAGTAAATTTAAATAAATGGTGGTATGGACTAGGGAGCTTGGGCAACAATATTAACAACTTGATAAAAGTTTGTTGGATTGTTATCTATCATATTTCTTCACATGTGTTATGCCATTCTTCTAAGCTTTATAGTTAGTGTTCAAGATGTTTTGAATCCTTTCCCTCAGCTTTCCTTTGCCAATACTAGTCTCAAAGTATTCACAGGAATATGGGAGTGGGAAGTGCTACCCAAGGGAGTCTGATTAATGTCAGAGAAATGAACTTTTGTTTGGATATGTGTGTGTGTGTGTGTGTGTGTGTGTGTGTGTGTGTTTCAGGGAGGATGAGTCACTGCTGCTGGTCTTATCCCCGACTTCTGTGAAAGTGCTCTTGGGTCATTACGTGTTAAACTTTAGATAAAAATTTATCCTTTGGCTGGCACACTGCAGTGGAGACCACTCTGGCACCAAAAGGCCATTTTAAGAAGCATTCCCCCAAAGTCGATGGTTTCTTTCCCTTTAATGTTGTGAGCAATTTATTCACCTTGCTTTAGGTAGAAGGGCTATTTCTTCAAACAACCCTGAGAGTTTTCTTCCAGGCTAAGAGGAAGTGAGCAACAGTGCTCAACCATGATGCAACTGCCAACATTTGTGTCTGCTTTCTGCCTTTCTAGAAGCTTCCTCTACTTAAGTAGCATGAGCTTCCTTGCATCTTGCTTAAACCAGAAGCCAGGAGCACCTGGCTAAGTCTAACCAATAATGGCAATTTCCATGAAGCCGCTAAAAGTTCATCGGTGAAAACAATCCATGTAAAATAACTCATGTCGTTTTAAGTATAAATTGGTTCTAGTATGAACCCCATCTCAGTTAAAAACAATTTCTTGCTAGCAATAACAGAGCATAAGGTGGTGATGGTACATACCTACATTCTATGTGTGTTTTTGTCAGTGGGAGGAGGGAAGAAAGATGAAGAGGTGAAGACACAGAGAAGGGCCCACAGAGAGTTCTGTTTTGAGTGCCAGCCACGGTTCACACTTTACACTATCTCATTTCATCTAATAATCTGGCTAAGCAGATATTATCATTTGTATTTTAACAGATCAGCAAGCAGAAGGTTAGGAATGTTAACAAGGCACATAGTAGGTGTGAAACGCAATTCCAGATTTATCTGATTCCAAGGCTCTGTTTTCCACCAGTATTACCACCATAATCCTCAACATCTGTCTCCTGTTGACAAAGGGGAAAGACAAAATCCATAACCTACTCCATAAATTTAAGTGGCCGGGAAACTGAAGCATAGGAAGGTGATATAAATCTGTGAAACAGTTCCAGAAAATCTGGACTTCCTTGTTCTATGACTACATTTACTTTATGATCCTCGATAAATATTAATGAAGACCTGGAATCACATGAGGGATCTCTATTATGCAGTATTGTAGAATGTCATTGAAGCAGTAAACAACTCCTTGAAAGTTTCAATAGTCATTTTATAGACTGAGCCTCAAACTCTAGACTAGGCTCACAAGCAAACTGGTAGGTGATAGAAGGGCTCAGAGTACAGGTACATTTTCATGATCCTTGACTATAAATAGAATGTAGAAGAGTATCTTTTTCAAAGGGAGTCATCCAAAATACTGAACTCTTGATATACTTGTAAACACACAGAAAAGTTAATAAGGAAGCATTCACTGCTTGTGATAGCACTCTTGTCAGAGTTCTTGAAGTTTTCTAAAATTGCTATGGCATTTTAAATTTTCTTCATAAACAGGCGATTTTGCAGGAAGTAGCTGATAATAACTATGGAATTCATTATGGATTACTTCATAAAATGCACATTCATTTTATGGTTTTATGATTTAGTGAAAAGAGAGGAGAACTTTTTCATCTTTTGAAACCATGACTAAGAGGTGCTACGTAATTATCTTCAATCATCATCTGTTAAGTGGAAAAATCGATACATGTTATTTTTTTTTCCCCAGGCACTAAAAAGAAAGACTTGAAATGTTTCCTCTTAAAAATATAAAGGTCATTTTATTATTATATGAGATTGGTGGAAAGTCTGATCTTAATCATGCTTATTCATTGAGTGTAACTTCTTACATAATGATAATTTATCAATTATTAAAGTCTTAACATAAACAAATTGTTGAATGTTAACCAAAATTAGAAGATATTTTGTATAGCAAGAATTTTCAAAATGTAGTTTTTATATTCATGATGAGCTATGGCTTTGTGTTTTACTGTCATGTTCTAGTACTTAGGGAAATCCTGAAAGTTTGCCTTCTATCAGTTTTAATGATCTAAAAGCTTTCTTGTATTTCATTTGTAAAATCATATACTACCTTACTTTTAGAACTGGATAAAAGTATGGGTATGTATAAGAAAAAATGAAAAATACTTTTTTATAAAAATAAAAGTCTATCAAGATTTTTAAGTTCACAAAAACTCATGCATTTAAATGTACTTAGGAACTGAAGAGAAAGAGTAGTTCATTACTCATTTTCACAGGATATTATCTGGAAAACTTATTATAATTTAGTTACATATGTACACACATACATTCATATTGTACTGTTCAGGGGTGCTGTTCAGTTGGTGGAAGGTGCAACTCTTTATCTCCAGGTTGTGGTTTCGAGTCCTGCATTGGTTATAGAGATGACTTTAAAAAATAAATCACATTTTATTGTCCATCTTATAAAGAAACTTTGGGCAAAATGGTTGAAATACAGTGAATTATCAAGGTACACATAAGAATGGAACAAAGATGTGTTAAGATGTCATGAAGTCAACTGGGTGAGGATTCGTATACCACAAGCCATTGTTACTTTATAAAACACGTTTGCAAAGGAAAAGAACTATGAAAGTAAATGTTCAGCATCTCTGAGATAAATTAATCCTTCCGAAAGTTAGAGTTTAATTTGTATCGATAAGGAAAATGGAATGATTTATCCATTAAAGTCATAATTTAATGTTGTTTCAACTTTAATGGACTCATTACATTTCTAAATCAGGGGTTGGGAAACTTTTTCTATAAAGAGCCAGATAGTCAGTATTTGAAGCTCAGCGATCCAGTCTCTCTCACAACTATTTAGTTGTGCCATTGATGTGTGAAAGCAGCCACGTACAATATGTAAGTGAATGGGCATGGCTGTATTCTAATAAAACTTTATTTATTAAAAAAAGATGGTGGCCCACAGTTTGCCAGTTTCTGTTCTAAATTATTTGTTCTTAAGTCCAGAAGACAGGATAGCTTGTGAGTACAACAAAAGAATTTTAGTCCATGAATGCTGACACCTATTTGAGAGCTAAAATAATTTATTTTCCTTTTCTTCTGGGCTCTCAGCTATGCCTCAGAGTGGCTGGGCTGTCATACATACATGTGCCCCCTGAATTATAATAGTGTTGGTGTTCAGGGCAATATATAAGCAAAGCTTGAGAACAATACCGTGTTCTCCACAAGTGACATGGAGTCAGCCCATGGTTAGAGCGGGGTGAAGTCTGTCAGGGAGGCTGCCTTGTAAGGTGTAAATCTTAGACCTGTTCTAAAAGAACAAAGGTGTATGTGGGCTTGAAAAGAAATATCAGGGAAAGAGCAGTAAGAGGAAGACAATGAGATGAGACAGGTGGTGCTGTGGAGGGGGAAGGGTAAGAATAAATAGACTGTATGGAGGAGGAGAGATCTGTCAGAATTGCCCAGTGTAGAATCATGGTTGAGCATCTGGGCTCTGGCCCCCAAGTGCCTAGCTTTGGATCCCCAACTCATCCACTTTCATAGGCCAGTCACTCAAACTTGTTGTGTTTCAGTTTTCTCATTGGTGAACTGGGAGTAATACTAGCGCCCAACTCATGGGATTGTTCTGAGGCTGGAATGAACTGAACCATGTTCAACACCTACAACAGTAGCTGGCCTGTTGTTAGAACTCAATAAAACATTAGAAAACAAGAGTGGGAGGAAAAAGAGAGAGCTGCTTTAGGGCAGTTGTGCTGAGAGAGCAGGAAAAGCTCATGGCTAAAATTTCTACAGTGGAAGGAAATGATTTACATTTCACTCTTCAATGATACAAACTTTTTTCCAGTAAGAATTTCTAGTCATAACTGCTGAGTAGATATTACTCAAAATTGAAACTTAATCCTGAGAATGTGGCATCATTTCTTACAGTTTTCCTCAGCGATGTACATCTCCCTTGACATAGAAGGCACTATATGCAGTTTTCCCAAACAGCAGTGTAAAGTGAGGTCATGACCTGTCATGGATACATAAGCAGAAAGGAGAATGTGGAACCAAAAATAATTCTCTGGGGGCACCTGGGTGGCTCAGTGGGTTAAGCTTCTGCCTTCGGCTCAGGTCATGTTCTCAGGGTCCTGGGATCCAGCCCCACATTGGGCTCTCTACTCAGCAGGGAGCTTGCTTCCCTTCCTCTCTCTCTCTGCCTACTTGAGATAAAAAAATAATGCTCTGGTCATAAATTTGGCGACTGGCAAGATGGTGGTGACCCTAGGGGTAGGAGGGAAGTTCAGAAGTGAGATAGGGTGGTGACAGAATTCTTAGTTCCCAACTGTCAGGCAGTTTCCTTTCTGGATGCTTGCCAGATTAATTTATACAATTTTTGGGAAATTGAATAAGTGGTCATAGATTATAGTAACTTTAAAAAAAAGAAGAGGAAGAAAGAAAAAAGAAAAAAGGGAAAATTTGGATGATGCAAACAATTCTTTCAGAAACATTCCTTCCAAAATAATGAATAACTAACTCACTCTAATCCATTTAAAATCCAAGTCTCTCTAAAGATGAAAGTAAAGTAAGAATGTAGATGGAAGAGTTTGAAGCTGTTGTCCTGAAATGCCCCAGCCCTCCCCCACTTTAATCTTTGTGTTTGAAATGGGGATCCCAAAGTGCACAAGATCAAGGGATATTGCCAAATTTCCCCTTTTGTTCTCTTGAGCCTTGATTTCCCACAACTGCTGGGAGGTGGAGATGACTGCTTTTCTCATCTGATGAGAAGAAATCATATTCATCTTTCCTGTTGATGTGATTTCCAGGTCATTCCAGCAACAACAATGTCCTTGGCAGCAAGAAAAAGAGCATGCTGCAACAACAGAACTGGGGTGAGTATGGACCATCAGCCTCAAGCCAAAGAGCAGGAACATTCAGTTACTGACACAGCAGCAAAGCTTCCCGAGTCATCACTATCTGCCCAACAGTGGCAGGACCACAGTCATAGAAACATGCAATTTACAGTAATTATATGATAATATGGAAAGTGCGAAGTTTATCTTTTTTCTTTTTTTCCCCATAAGAATTAAGCTTTCGAGTCAGTCTTCAGACCTTTCCTCAATCTTTAGTTTCATTAACCTAAAGGCTTTCAAAGAAAGGAGATTTGGAAGTTATATCCGGAGCTGTAATCAATTTCATAATTCTCAAATACTTGTCATTTTCGTGGTGTGTGTAAAAGACTTTGGGAAAGTGTATCCTCAATTCTATGAAAGATTGGTTTGCTACGATCAAAATAATTGTCCTTATCCAGTTAAAGGAGACAATGGTTATTTATTTTCAAACATTTACTGTGCACTCATTAAGTATAAAATTGTAACTAAGTTAAAAGTAAAGGAAGTGAATATTTATTAGCCTACTGTTATTATGGTCAGAACCCTTCCAACTCTACGACCTTGCTTAATCCTCTCAAAACCACTAAGTGGGAAATATAATGGTGTCTGTTTCATTGACTGAGAAATTGATCCTCAGAGAAAGCAAATAATTTGCCAGGGTAGCATAGCTAATAAGTAGGTGAATTTTTGTCCAAATACACCAGGCTCCAAAATTCACAATATTTACACTATTTATGCCACAGTCGTTGTTATAAGCAACACTGAGGTCTCTCATTATTCTCTAAGGAGTGGCGGGCTGGATCAATAAACAAGCTGTCATAGTAAATATTCCTGGCTGATCTTGAGGTTTTATAGTGCTCAGCCTTATGAGAACATCAGAGTCACGCAGAACAATCTTAAAAATATGAATGCCTGGTGGCCCCCAGAGATTCAGTATTTTTCAAAAGCACTTTAGGTGATTCTAATATGGTCCCAGGGGTGAGAGCTAGGGTTTAAAAGTGTGCATATTATATCTGTATTAATATTTATATTTTTAAAAAGTACCCTTTTCTGACATTTGATATTTATCTAGGATTATAATTACTTTGCTAATTGTTGATAGTACATCTTTGTTCCTTATATACCATAGAAATTTAATAAATACTAGTTTTCAGTTTCTCCTCTCTGGCACTTTTCTTTTTAACTTATAATTTGCAGTTGACTTTTTATTACCTCTATATTGTACTTACATTCTTGAGAAAGATATCTGGAGCTATTTCTAAATCCCTGAACTCTAAAATAACAGAACACTTCTATAGATTTTTGTCTCAAATCATATTTCCCTTAAGAATCTTTCCCCCCTACATACCTTTAATGACAAGTCATCTTTTCAATGATCACTTAAGTTTTTTCTGTCCTTGGAGGACAGTAAGTTGAGAAGAAGCAAGACACCTTTTCATGCAGGTGTTGGCCTTAACTCTGTAGGTTTTGCTCCCCCATACCAACCTTGAAAGTCATTGGAATTTTCATGCTTCTGCAACATTACAGATTATTATGTGCCAAGAAGGTATAGGAACTCTGGAGTGCCAAGGGGTAGGGGGTGCTATGTAATACTGCTCCTGTTATGTTAATAATAGTGGTGCTGGTTATTTTAATTAAAATTTCCAGCTTATATTGAGTAGATGCAATAAAGTGTTCCTAGACACTTTTCTCACTTTGTGGCAGCCCTGAGAAGACTGGTTTTTAAGTCATATCACTTATCTTCCACGTTGGGAAAAGACCAAAGCATCATGAAGGCGACAAAGGCTAGATCTTGGGGTGGGTGATGGGGTCACCAAGGCTTATCTCCTGTATTAACTGTTCCAACTATTTCCCCTACTTTAACTGTGTCTTGCTCCTTCCCTTTGTCTACTTCTTGGTTTTGTTTCCAAATGCTTTGGTTTTGCTGAGTCATTTACATAAACCCCCCACTCGGGGGAATTCAGATCCCCAGGAGCACGTTCTAAAGCCAGGCCCCTTTGTAGTGATAAGAAGTTAGAAAGAATAAATGACCAAAATATAAATAGTGCACTTCTTGGTGAGCAAATTAAGTAACTTGCACAGGCCACAGTAGTGTGGAAGAATCTGGATTTGAATTAGACTCCAAGTCCATCATTCTCTGCTTTTAGCTCAAAGAATTCTGATGTAGTGATTAAAATCTGAGCACAAGCATTTCCCAGTTGTGAGATTCTGACAAGTTTGCCAACTTCCCTGAATTATATTTTTCTCATCCTTAAAGTGGGAATAATCGTATCTATCTCTTGGGGTTATTGAAAGGGTTAAATGAGATAATATATGCAACAACATGCATGAGGTACATAAAGAAGCCCCTTATTCTGCCTACTCATTAAAGCCACGTCTCCTGAACCCTCTGGAAGTGGCAGTATTATCGGACCAAAGGAAAAGGACAAGTATTCCTTCATCTCTGCATATTTTAACTCATAATTATCATTGACTAACAACTTCACTGAAACAACACAGAGCTTTTTTTTCTGAAAAGCATACACATATACCGACTTTCATTTGGGCCATAACATTTCCTATTGGCAAATTTCATGCTTTTTTTCTGCTTTCTCTGACTCTCACTCATGAAATGAAAGGTGCTTAAAGGCTTACAGTTTTTCTCCCTGACACAATATGGTTCTCCACTGGAGCAATTCTGCCCCCCAGAGGGACATTCAGCAGTGTCCGGGACACTTTTGGCTGTCAACACTTTGGAGGGACAGCTACTGGTATCTAGTGGGGTAGAGACCAGCGATGCTGCCAAACAACCCAGAATGTACAGGAAAGGCCTCAAAACAAAATGCCCAATGTTGGCAGTATTGAGGTTGAGAAGCTGTGTGCTTCACACGACGCTATTGACTGATCTCAGCAGAATGGGGACCACTGACCTCTTGTAGCATTAGGGCCAAATCTGGATGAAAGATTTGGGAGCCAGGAGACCAGATGCCAAAATGTGGTGGTTAAAATCTAGTCCAGGTTCTATGAAGTAGGAAGTACACAGAATGGGGAGGAGGTACCAGATGTCAGTGGTCCCTTGAAGTGGACAAGGCTCAGGGGGTAAAAAGGTGCAGATTTTCCAAAAACAGTAGCGAGCCCAACAATCTTTTAGTAAGTCTAATCAAATGGCAGAGACTTTGTCCTCTTTGCTCTTTGATAAATCAGACCTAATCAAATGGAGATCTTAAGACCTAGGACCACACGGGGGCCAGAGACCAGCAGCGGTTGGCCAGAAGTCTGCGCATGCTGCTGCGTCTCGAAACAGACCGGGAACACGTGAGAACATACACTAATGCTTCTCCTTTGTCTTCCAGATGTTTCTGTCATCACTTCTGAATGTAATCACGGTCATTGGTGCTGTGTATTGCATGTTGGTATCTATCCTGGCTCTCTCGGAAGGTCCTCTCATTTGTAACTCTCAAGAGAACAGCACTTTCAATTGTGAATTTTCATTCAAAAATTTGACGTGAGTATTCTGATTTTCACAGATTGTCTCACATGCTGCAGCTAGCTCCATGAGAATAGTGTGGTGCTGACACGTTGTTCTTTGATGGGATGACTGGAACACAGGTTCTTAGGGATTTAGCACATTAATCCCAATTGGCACAATCTCATAGAAATGGAAGAACCACTCAGAATGGTTTGTGGGGTGGTGGAGGCCAGGAATCTTGTCTAGAAGTAGTTGACTCAGATGGTTTATCCTTGTCTTTTAAAAATCTGTGGCTGCAAGTGTGTATGTGTCTAAAGAATTTCTAGAAATATATGCCAGAAACTTTACTTTTTTTTTTTGAGAATGGTTATAGAGGATGCCCTGGAGGAGTGAAGGGAGCACTGCATTTCTATACTTCCGAACTCAGTTTCTAAGCCCTAAGCATATGTTACTTTTATAATTAAAAACATGAATAAAAACACAATACATAAAACCTAGAGCCTTACTTACGAGCCCTAAAAGAAACAAAAGCAGTCGTGGATTCATGCAGACGTACTATAAATATACTGCAGGCATGGGAATGAATCAAGTTTAACTCATATAGTGACAATATAGAGGAGTTACTTATAAGTGGCTCATTTCAGACTTGAAAGATGGTTTTGTGCCTGAATCTAGGCACAGTCTGTAAAACTGGAAGAAAAGAACAATCTAATTCTCGGTTATCTATATGTTGCTCAGTTTTTGAAAATAACCAGAATTCACTTTTGTAATTACATGAAAAAAAAAAAAATTTCCCCCTCCTTTTCTCCTGCTACCCTAAAAAAGAAAAATCCCTCAAAATTTGCATACTGCAGTTGTTGTGAATCAAAATCAAAATAAAAAAATCCCCTTTCCTAGATCTGAAGTTCAAAATAAGAGATTTCAAGCACAGATGCTCTACACATTCAGCCCTTAGGAGAGAATAACTCACCAGGCACCCGGCTAAGCTCTGGAGATGAGAGCCACTCCAGCTGGGGAGACAGAGCTCCAAGACTGATCCTAGGCTTGCTGCAAACTGCAGAAAGCATACTCCCTTTCCACGTGCTGAAAATACTGTTGTCTTCCCAGGATAAATGTCAGTTGTTGGTATCCAGAAATGCAAACTCTTTAAGAACACTTAGCCTTACTTGGTAGTAAACTGAGGGAACAACCATCTTAGGGTAGATCACGTTTGGGCTAGAAGTCTCTCATTTTCCAAACCTTGTTACAATGGGCACAAATCCCCTTAATCAGACTTTTTTTTTTTTTTTTTTAACATGCCTTTTGTCAGTAAAAGTTGCACAGTCCTTTTGAGAGCAGATGCAACACTGCCGCCGTTTTGTCGGAAGAATTGAGCTTCCTGCGGGGGCGGGGAGCGCCTTACTTTACATGTCTTTAGCAAGTAGAGGAATGCCTGTATAATTAGGTTGAATCATGGGAGATTAAGAATATTCAGTTATTTCCGACACAGAAAATTCATATGGTTCAACCCAAGAGTAGGTACTCTAAAAATGCTGGTTGAGGGAGGGGACAGATACTCAGTAAGAGTTTTGGAGAGATCAGAGTACATGGACACATGATCAGAAACTTGGGTCTCAGCTATAGTTTCTGGGCACAGTATTTCAAAGGACTTGCTGTTTTAGTATACTTGCCCTTTTCTGGGCACAATGATGCAGTCTTTTCATGGTAAGTGATATTCCTGAAAACCTCCTGTCGTTTCTTTCATTTCAGTGACATTGACCCAGACTCCTTCAATCTGCAGTGGTTCTTCAGTGAGTCTTGTGTCGCTCCTCCTGATTTTGATGATCTCACCATCAATGGCGTCACAGCCAGTGACTGGAGAAATTATACCTTGAACTTCGACTCTGAAGAAAACAAACACAGGGTGATCCATTTCTCGGTGTTTTTAGGCCTACTACTCGTGGGGATTCTGGAGCTCCTGTTTGGGCTCAGTCAGATGGCCATCGGTTTCCTTGGATGTCTGTGTGGGGTCACTAAGCGGAGAAGTAGAATTGTTTAGTTTCATGGTAATAAAATGGAAATATTAGCAATTTTGAATCATTTGAGAATTGCATTTAAAAGACACTCCTTGGGGTATCTGGGTGGCTCAGTCGGTTAAGCGGCTGCCTTTGGCTCAGGTCATGATCCCAGGGTCCTGGTATCAAGTCCTGCATCAGGGTCCCTGCTCAGCAGGCAGTCTGCCCCTCCCTCCAACTTGTGTTCTCTCAAATAAATAAAATCTTAAAAAAAAAAAAGACATTTTTTTAGAAGTTCAAAAATGGAACACTGTCTAGAAAGCTGTATCAGTCACTTTAGGCCAAAAGTCATCTTTGAGGTGTTTAAAAAAAAAAAATCAGCCTTTCACATACAAAGCAAAAACAATCATCAGTGGTTGACTTTGGGGAAAGGTGGAAAGAAATTTTCAATTTGTTTTGTACCTTTTGGTACTTCTGTACTATTCGAATTTTTAAATTCTATATTCTCAAGTGTGGAAGGAGAAGGGAGGGAAGGGGAAAGGAGAACGAAGATGGGGAGGGAGGGAGGAACAGGAAGGAACAGAAGTTATCCTGGAAGTGAAAATATGGAACTTTATTTTATTTCTTTACACTAAAAAATAAAATAAAATAAAATAAAATAAAAATAAAATAAAATAAAATAAAATAAAATAAAATAAAATAAACAGATAGCCTGAATGGTTTTAGACCTAATTTCCTGCTTATAGACAATCTGGAGAAGAGGACATAGTCAGACAAATCCAAAAGGTGGGGCAGTAAACAGACAATAGCCCCGTTTTCAACAAGAAAATATATAGGAAAAATAAAAGGTGGGATGGGCTGAGGGAACTATTCCAGATTAAGAGAACAAAGAGACAGGATTCAATGAAATGTATTCTGTAGACTCATTTCATTGGGGGATAACTGGGGAGACCTGTACAAGGATTGGTTTAGGGGAAAGCCTGGCTGGCTTAGTCACAGGTATGTATGACTCTTAATCTCTGGGTCATGTGTTCAAGTCCCATGTTGGACGTAGAGCCTACTTAGATAGATAGATAAATAAGGGATAGGAAGAAAGGAAGAAAGGCAGGCAGGAAGGAAGGGAGGGAGGGAGGGGGGAGATTGGTTTAGGTGATGTCAAAGAATTATTGCTAACATTTTTAGTCCTGACAATGGTTTTATGGTTACACAGGAAAATGTTCTTATTTTTAAAGAAATGTATATTTCTGTTTTGGGGGAAATATCATGTTCTTAAAATACTTCAGCCAAAAGCTATGGAAAAATGTTATATTTACGTGACAGGTATATGGTAATCCATTATACTCTTCTATTTTCCTGTTTGCATTCTTCCACAATTAAAAAAAATAAATGCCTACAAAAAAAAGTACCAGTCTGGATTCAAAAGCTGCTTTCTATACATGTCAATCTTTAAAAGATAGAATTAAAAAACCATGTATTTACCATATTAAAATGTTATGACAGACAAAACTGAAAATCCAATTTTCTGAATGTGATCATTCCTGCATTTTACTTCAATTATTTATGTTTACTGGGCTTAAGTTTCTAGAAATAATTTTTAATACCTATATTATAGCTGCCCCCCAAAATTAGTAACATCAGAAGCACACACAGGCATTTTTTTTTTTTTCTGAATCTATTTGCTGTATAGAGACCTTCTCCCTATACTCCTATTTTATAGACCTATTTATCCTTGAGGTCTAGCTTCAGGGTCTCTTACTTGAAAAAACTTTCCCAGGGTGCAGGATTCCAACAAACTAAGCTAGCACTTACCCAGACCACTGTTATCATACCTGTCACAATGTAACATAAATGTTTGTGTGTCCACTACTACCAGAAAATTTGAGAGAGCAGGAACCATGTCCTTCTCATCCATTTTTTCATCAGCTCTTTTTTTAAAAACATTTTTAAAAATTCGAGTTAATGTATAAGCGTATTATTAGTTTCAGAGGTAGAATTTAGTGATTCATCGATTGCATATCACATGCAGTGCTCATTACATCACATGCCCTCCTTAATGCTCATCACCCAGTTACCCCATCTCCCTGTCCCCTCCCTTCCAGCAATACTCCATTTGTTCCCTATAGTTAAGTCTCTTATCGTTTGTCTTCTGCTTTGTTTTTATTTTTCCTCCCTTCTATGTTCCTCTGTTTTGTTTCTTAAATTCCACATGAGTGAAATCATATGGTATTTGTCTTTCTCTGATTTATTTCACTTAGCATAATACCTTCTAGTTCCATTCATGTCATTGCAAATGGCGAGATTTCATCCTTCTTGATGGCTGAGTAATATTCCATTCTATGTCTATACCACATCTTCTTTATCCATTGATCTGTTGATGAACATTTGAGCTCTTTCCATATTTTGGCTATTGTGGATAATATTGCTATAAACATTGGGGTGCATGTGCCCCTCTGAATCAGCATTTTTATATCCTTTGGGCAAATACCCAATAGTGCAATTGCTGGGTCATAGGGTAGCTCTATTTTTAACTTTCTGAGGAATCTCCAAACTCTGTTTTTCCAGAGTGGCTGTACCCACCAACAGCATAAGAGGGTTCACCTTTCTCTTCATTCTTGCCAACATCTGCTGTTTCCTGAGTTGCTAATTTTAGCCATTCTGACAGGTGTGAGGTGGTATCTCACCATGGTTTTGATTTGTATCTGCCTGATGATGAGTGATGTTGAGCATTTTTTCATGTGTCTGTTAGCCAACTGTATGTCTTCTTTGGAGAAATGTCTGTCCCTGTCTTCTAGTTTTTAACTGGAGTTTTTATTTTTTGGGTGTTAGGTCTGGTAAGTTCTTTGTAGATTCTGGATACTAGACATTTATCCATCAGCATTTGCAAATATCTTCTCTCATTCTGTTGGCTGCCATTTAGTTTTGTTGATTGTTTCCTTTGCTGTTAAGCTTTTATCCTGATGAAGTTCCAATAGTCCATTTCCCCCTTTGTTTCCCTTGCCTCTGGTGATGTGTGAAGAAGTTACCATGGCTGAGGTCAAAGAGGTTGCTGCCTGTGTCCTCCTCTAGGATTTTGATGGATTCCTATCTCACATTTAGGTCTTTCATTCATTTTGAGTTTTTGTGTGTGGTGTAAGAAAGTGACCCAGTTTCATTATTCTGCATGCTGCTGTCCAATTTCCCAACACTGTTTGTTGAAGAGATGGTCTTTTTTCCATTGGCTATTCTTTCCTGCTTTGTCGAAGATTAGCTGGCCATAGAGTTGTGGGTCTATTTCTCATTTCTTTATTCTGTTGCATTGACTTATGTGTCTGTTTTTGTGCCAATACCATACTGTCTTGATGATTACAGCTTTGTCATACAGCTTGAAGTCTGGAATTGTGATGCCACCAGCTTTGGTTTTCTTTTTCAACGTAATGGCTATTCGTGGTCTTTTCTGGTTCCATACAAATTTTAGAATTGTTTATTCTATCTCTGAAAAATGCTGGTATTATTTTGATAGGAATTACTTTGAACATGTAGATTGCTTTAGCATAGACATTTGAACAATATTTGCTCTTCCAATCCAGGAGCATGAAATGTTTTTCCATTTCTTTGTGTCTTCCTCAATTTCTTTCATAAGTGTTCTATAGTTGTCAGAGTACAGAATAGTATTCCATTGTATCTTTCTCTCTATCCATCTATCCATCCATCCATCCATCCCACATCTTTTTTTTTTTACATCACAATATTATTATGTGAATTTTTTACAATACAAACAAAAAAAATACAGAAATGCAATATATGAATACAGCTAAATGCAGAATGGTGACTTTTTTTTTCTTTTCAAGAGGCCATGATTCCCATTTCTAGTAAAATAAATAGACGGCACATAGGTAGAAAGAGGTTGGTCGTTAGCTTCACAATTTTGCCTAGAAATGATCTATAAATGCATTTTTCCCCCTGCTACTTACCATAAAGTGTAAAAAGGGAATTAAAGGAAAGTTTCCTTGTTGGTTTCTACGATATCAAAGATGCTATATTCTATTTTTAGCAGGGCCAATATATGGAAAATACCTAAATAAAATGTTATTAAAAAATGAAGCAGTAATGAGATTCTGGCTAAAGAGGGCACTAAATGAGAATAACATATATTTAAAGAATCCAAAACAAACAAATAAACAAAAAAAGGTTGTTATAAAAAAGCTCTAGGTGCATTGTAAGCATATAGGATTTTTTTTCCCATGTGTATTTTTAAACAATGGAAGTGTCAAAAAATAGGGTCAACTGTGTTAGACTAAATTACATTATTGTATATGCTGTACTGAATGGAACCTTTGTATTATAATTATCATAGAGAAGCATAGTTTGCATCACATTATGGCAATTTATCCTCAATGAATACCTTCCAGAGTCCTTTTATTTTGGAATATCCTGTAAACAATCAAACCACCAGAACATGATTGTACAACAGTAAAATGTTTTCTTGCATTAAATTGAAGACATCTGTTTAATAAAAAAACAAAAAACCAAAAACCAAACCAAAACAAAAAACCAAAAACCAAAACAAAACAAAAAACAAAAAGAAAATGTAGGAAAGGTACTTAGAGCTGTTAGTTTCTAAGTACACAACACCCTAGACAATTCAAGGCATCTTAATCTCCATCAAGAACAAAAAAATAATAATTTTTGTCATGCTGTTAAATCCATCAGTAAGGATAAAACCGGTGCAAATTGGTCAAACGGATCCAACAAACACTGATGTCCAAGCTGGCATATTGGCAACTAATACGTAACTGGTGGTCAATAGAGGGTTTAAAAGATCTTCCCTTTCTTCTTGTTCTTTTCCAAGGTTCTGGAAGAGTTCTGTTGTTCTAAAATACGTTATTGGGCTTCCCAGTTTGCTTTCTCATCTTCAAACTGACGACGTTTTTCCTCTAATTCTTTGTGCTGTGCTTCCAAATTCTTTTTCATTTGCTCATGGCGCCTTTGGAGCTCAGCTTATGAATCCTTCAGTTTTTGAACTTTTTCTTTGACCTTCATCTCAAACATCTGCTCCATCTCCATCTTCTTCATCTTAGCTACATGCTCCCTTCTTTCTTCTTCCATTTGTGCAAGAGGGCTCTTGGTAAGCTGCCCTTTATTCTTGTTATTATCAACTCCATTATAAGTCACAGCTGCCAGTTTCTGCTCCAGTAGTTCTCATAGTGGACATTATTAGTGACATCTTTCAAGTCCTGCATGTGTGTTCTTATCAACATATTTCTTAGAATTGTAAAATCACAATGTTCACCATTTTCAACTTCAGCAACACCCCAAGGATACTGCCTTCCTCTGACCCTTTTGCCATTAACTTCAATGATAGTATTACTACCTACCACAGCGAGAGGTAAACAGTTCTTTATCTTTTTAACAAGCTTATTTTCTTCTTCATCATCTGTCTCTGGAAATTCATATATTTTAATTTTATGTTCTTGGATTTCTTTCATTATCTGTTTTTTTAAACTGTTGGCACTCCTCTGGAGTAAGTGTGTCTGCTTTGGCAATAAGTGGAATGATATTCACTTTTTCATGCAAACACTTCATAAACTCAATATCCAATGTTTTAAGTCCATGTCCTGAAGGAGCAATTAAATATAAACAACACTGCACCCTGTTATCAGGCAGCTGACGTCTGTTCACTCGAGATTCTGCATTTAGGTAGTCCTCAAGTTTACTATCAATGTAGTCAATAACAGGCTGCCAGCAATTACTATTATCCACGGCATCTCCAAATCCTGGGGTATCAACTATTGTGAGCAGCAACTGAACACCACCTTCTTTGATTAAAACTTTGGGTTGTTCCACCTGTACTGTCTTTTTTATTCTATGGGATGGACCTGGATACTCTGGAGAATACAAATCTGTGAGGAATAATGAGTTGATTCATGTTGACTTCCTGAGTCCGGATTCACCAACAACCATAAGAGTGAATTCAAACCCTCTCTTCACTGATTTTCTGTACACTTGATTTGGGAGATTTGCAAATCCCACATAGCCTTCAAGGTTCTTCTGTTGAGCTACCATGGTGCTGCTGTTGACGCTCCTCTCCTCAGCAGCAGCGGATCTCGCACTCCATCCCACATCTTCTTTATCCACTCATCAGTGACAGACATCTGGGCTCTTTCCATATTTTGGCTATTGTGGACTTTGCTGCTATGAACACTGGGATGCAGCTGCCCCTTCAAATCACTATTTTGTATCCTTTGGATAAATACCTAGTAGTGCAATTGCTGGGTTGTAGGGTCTATCTTTAACTTTTTGAGGAACCTCTTTCTTGCTTCCAGTCCTTAGCAAGGTCTCTCTTCTGCCTAGTCCCCAGGTCACTCATCTCCTCTCTGGCTAAGTCCTCTTCATCCTTCAGACTTCAACACAACCATCACGTTTTTCTGAGAGGCCTTCCCTAACCACCTAATGAAGATTTCCCTTAACTTTCTTCTTTAGCATTCTGCCATTGATAGTACTCATCACAATGGCCACAGCACTTCTATTTGTGCTTGTTTCCTAAATTTTACTCTCCCCCCATAAGACCATAAGCTCCATGAGTCCAGAGATATGTTTCTTTTATTCACTCCTGGTACACTCGGTGCCAAATACAGTGCCTGATACAAAGTAGGGCAATTATAAATATTCTGTTAAATGAATTAACGAATCTTATCTTTTTTACTTAGCTTTTAGTGAGAGTCAATGCTTACTGAATGAATGCCAAACTGCTAATAGCCATAAAATTAAAACACAAGTGAAATGAACATGACTGCTCATGGACTTGACTGAACAATACAAGGGTCAGTGATGGTGCATCCAATCTTCTCATTGTCTTGGAAATGGGTGTGATGACCCTAGTTATCCACAGGATCATGAAGAGACAGAAACATAAGCCTCTCATGTCAGAGGGCAAAAGAGAGAATTGTTGGCAAAAGAGATTCAGCACAATTCAGCTGAAATGGCTGTTATTTCTTTGCTCTTTTAGTCTTGTGGAAATGATTGCCATAGATTAAATGCCTAAAGCCTAGGGGCCACCGGTGGTTCAGTATCTTTTGGGATGATGCCATCTCTGCTCTGGTACCTAAACTTACAAATGCATGTACGTACACACACACACAGTGTACATCTAGTAATTTACAAAGCTCACTGATCTTTTTTTCACTGCCACCTCCATGTTCAATCTTGTTTTGGAAACTTTACACTCTTTTTTTTTTTTTTTTGCTGTGTCCACCATCTGAAACACTCTTCTCCCTATCCTTCAGCTTATATCTCAAGTTCTTCCTCCATAACAAAATCATTTTAATAATCCTCAAATTCTTTAACAAGCCTTCCCCTCTCCCTTCCACCCTCCTCCATCAATATGTCAGTTCCTTAAGGTCAGGGCTTGTGGCCTACCTGCTATAACTGCTCACTACACAGGTCAGTGTGGTGCACACATGAATTTCTACTTATTGACACAACAACATATTGTAAGTAAACAGTGGTTACAGTAAATTAAGCCTTTTTGAACTTGGAGCCCAGACAAAGAGTTCAATTTCAATGTCAAACATAATTAAGAAACTAGAAAACAGACATTCATAGAAGAAAGGAAAGAAAGCTCTCTTGCAAATATATTTTTCTAAAATTATCCCTCAAACTGTAAATAACCTGCTACTGTTTCAGTAAGTATTCCTAGAAATAGAGAAAAAAAAAAAAAAAAAAACACCTGTAGGTAGAGTTCTGTACTTAAGTCGTAGGACACTAGCCTGTTAGGTTGAGCACTGTATTACTGACCCTCCCTGTAAACTCTTCTCCCACTGTTCCCTGCCCCAGGAACCTTTTCTTCATTCTCTGCTTTTTGAAATCCTGTGTGTTTGTGTGTACATGCACGCAAATGTACTTAAAGGCTCAGCTCAAATATCTGCAAGTGTTTCTTAATCATCTGGACCAGGAATGAATTTGTTCCTCTCAACTCCAAAACCACTTTCTTACAATGATGAACAACTTCCAGGCAAGGGAGGCTGGTATAACAGAGCTTGGCTTTCAAGTGACAGAGTCACTTCTATTTTTATATCTGTGACAAGGCAAAGGCACATTTCTTTATTATCCCCTTTTGGGTGATAAGTTGATTTCCTAGTTACCCTTTCACCGAAGGTGTAGCCTTTTGGGGTCCCAGCTTCATGCAGGAATCTCCTGTCACAGCTAGTGTCCTGCCTAAAACATGGGACTGTATTCTCCTGCCCTCTGCACAGCCACTAAGGGAGAAAGTTCTAGGTCTCCAGAGTTTGGTAAAAATTAACAGGAGAAAACAGCTTTTGTATTTGCTTATCTCCTAGAATGCCTGTTTTATTTCATTTTTGGCCCTAGCAGAATCCTTTTCATGCCTGCCCAGCAAAAGAAATGCTAGTTTTATCCATCATTTTCATTTTTCAATTGGGAGGATCATTCAGAAATTACCTTGTAAGAAAATATATATATATGTGTGTGTATATATATATATATATATATATATATATATATATGAAGCTAGAATTAATATAACCATATCATTAGGCTGTTATAAAAGGCAGAAGATTTTCATGGATAAAAAGAAAATATCCTCAAACTCATGTAAACTTTAGGAAGCAAAGACAGGAATCCTTCCTCCAAGTATTTTATTTTGGAAGGATAGGAGAGAAGCAAGAACAGAAACACTAAATCTACTTCTATCTAAGGAATTTCCCTCAACTGCCTTTCCTAACACTCACCACCTAGGTATTCAGATACTGAAGATATGTGGCAAATACTAAACCTAACTGAAGATATGTGGCAAATACTAAACCTAACTAAAATTCTGTTTCTGAACACAAAATCGGGCCGGGGTTGGGGGGGCGGTGGATAATTCTGAGAGCTAGAGCCTCCCAGGATTTGATTTCACTGGTACACTTAAAGTTCATGAGATATAGTATCTTAACTAAATACTACAATGCAAAAAGCATACACAACTCCAGCTGTTTTCCTCCAAAGCACCTGACAGATACCACAACTTAGAAAACCACCTGTAATGCTACCAGCGCCTGCTGCTGCGGGGATGGAAATCGGAAAGGAAACACAGTAGGTTCTTGCTACCAGCCAAGTCATTAATTGCATTATTTCCTTCTGAGACAAGAAGACTCGGGTTCATTAATGGTAATATGCTATGAAGTACAGCTCACACAACAATATGATGAAATAAAATTTTTCGACAAACATTGCTTTAGTTGACAGTTTATTAAATACACTACATTTGTACCTTATTCTGTAGTTTTTTAAATCATTCACACAGGGACTTAGTAAAAACATACTTTATAGAAAACCATCTGCAAAACTAAAATAAAAATAAGTATGCACATTTTACACGCATATTAGGTAAACTGCTGGAAATGTTAGGAATTACTTTAGTGAAGGTGACTGGTAAACATGAAGTGCCTTGGCTTTATCAAATCTGACACCAGACCACGACTTCAGAAGTGTTAATGTTGAAACGTGGATGCAAAAGGGTCTATTAACAGAACTGTCCAATCTAACAGTGTTTGAGAAACTGGACAAAATAAAGTAATATTTTTCTTCTACAGATACTTTTCTAAATCCATTCCCTATGCACTCTCGCTCCCATTCAGAGAATAAATTGTGTGGGCTGATGAGGCAAAAATTCCTTTTAAAAAACAAACTAGAGCCTATTTACAAAACATGCAAAGGGAGAATTTTAAGTAGGTGTTTGTTACTGCAGATCTGCTTTAAGTGACTACAGCTGAGTGAGAGAACATACCTTGACTTCTGCAAGTATCAGTCCCTCCCCCCTCCTTTCTGGAAGAAATACATGTTCAGGGCATGGACTATAAAACGGCATACAATGCAAAGACAGAAACAAAGAAGTTTGTAAATGCTTTATATTTCCAGCTGTTGAGACACGAGTTTCGAGAGCTGAGGTTACCTCTAGCGGCGGAACCAGAGCCAGCTGTTAAGAAGCCAGAATGCTACAGTAATTGAATACATGACCATTTCTCTTTTAGCTCGCTCCTTGTTCTCCTCTTCTAGGAGCTGCAGACGTCTATTTAGTTTGATTATCTAAGTGAAAAACCGTGACAAAAGACAAAAGAGAAACTTTAATGCACAGAGCAATTAGGTTCTTAATAAAGCAGGATGACTTTCAAAAGAATTCTTATAAACAATGAACAGTTTCTTTGGGAGCAAAATAAACTATATGTAGAAAAAATGTTACCCATGACAGCTTAAATTCACAGATATAATCTTCTCCTTTTCCCTTCCCCAAATTTCTGAATCAGAAAAATTGTATTTTCCTTCCTTCCCTGATTCAATGTGGGCCAAGGAAACTGTTGCATACTGCATGCTATTCCAATCAAAAAGACCAAGTTTAAGTACACATTTAGGCAGGCCTAGCACAGCAGAAAGGATGGGGGGCTTCTGTTCCTTTCTAGAAGCTTCTGTCACCCAGCTTCAGTTGTTCATCTTTAACCTGCTTTAATTGCCTTCTCCATCCACTTTCTGAGTGACTGGGAGCATCTCATAAAATAACCTATTAGAGCAGGTCCTGTGCTCTGCCATTCAGACCCTTCAGAACTGAAAGGCTAATAACTCTCCAGCTGCTAGGAGTGTCACCTTGGCTGCTGGCCCTCACTGTCACAACCCTGGGCTGAACGACTGCCTTGCCTACACTTACGCTCCTTTACCGGGGCAGCAGCATGTATCCAACCAGATAGTGAAGAGATGAAAGGCCCAGCCCTTGTTCCAACTCTGAAGGGTCACCCCAGCTTCAGAGCTCTGCAGGAGGCTGGCCACAGTGTAGTACACAGAACAGTGTAGTGTTCTGACTACACTGCAGCCCAACGTTTCCCTCTTGCCCAATCCCGCTTCCTTTCCTTCCCTTTGGACTCAGGAGCACTCCCCAGAAAATGCTCTATGTGCAAACCTTCATCCTATAATCTGCTTTCTGGGGAGTCTAACCTGCAACACCTATGGAAAAACACATTATAAAAGCCAAAGGGATTATTAACATTATATTAGAGAGGTTGAAGGAAGAGTATTTTCATAATGCAGAATCCTTAGCATTTCAAGGACTGAGGACTCCAAACTGGGGGTGTGGGGTGGGTGGGGCCAGGAATGGGAGTCTGTGGGCAGAACCAGACGTAGAGGTGCAGAGATAACCATTTTAACAACCTGAAAAAGTACTTCACTTTTGATCAGTGCTGAGCAATGACTTTTCTCCCAGAGCCAATTCAGTTAAAAAAAGAAAAGAAAAGAAAAAAGGGAGCGTGTAAAGACTACCTTCTCCCAACCATTTGTAATGAGAAGTGCTTATTTGGTCCCATGGGATATAAAGTTCTTACACTAAGCAATCCACTTTATTGCCAATGAAAATAATTGGCATTGATCTTGAGTCATTTAAATATTTTCATCTAGGCTCATCTGAGAAGTATCAATACCAAGGCAGCTTTTGAATATTCCACTCTGGTCATGGATTACATTTTGCATCTCGGAGCCAGATGGCCCACGAGTCCCTCGTCTCTAGACTAGACTCAGTGAAGCACAACTTGTTGGGTCCTTGGCAACAGGGCAAGGACAGTTGCAGAAGCATAGCTTCCAATGTCGCCAGGGTCACAAATGTGAATTCTGCAGAATCTCCTTGGGACTCCGTTTTGTTACTGATCTCAGAAACTCATAGTTTCCCAGTTGGCTTTCTACTACTTTTAAATTCTCAAAAATATGTGTGATTTGTTTATAATGACTGTATCTTTGTCCTCTACTCGTTCACCTCTAAGCTAAGGATTGAGAAGATGTTAAAACTTTGAGGCTCTTATTACACTTTCAGGAAGGCAAGGTTGTTGGTGTAATGGTGAATTCAATGACAAATGCCAAAGAAATGCCCTTCCTTCAATAGGCAAGGTATAAATCAGTATAAGAAAATATGTACAGGGCGCCTGAGTGGCTCAGTTGGTTGAGCGACTGCCTTCGGCTCAGGTCATGATCCTGGAGTTCCGGGATCGAGTCCCGCATCGGGCTCCCAGCTCCACAGGGAGTCTGCTTCTCCCTCTGACCTTCTCCTCGCTCATGCTCTCTCTCACTGTCTCTCTCTCTCTCTCTCAAATAAATAAAATGTTTAAAAAAAAAAAAAGAAAAGAAAATATGTACAAAATTATAATACAGCATTCTTTTTTTTTTTGAGAAAGATTTTATTTATTTGACAGAGGGAGAGAGAGAGAGATCACAAGTAGGCAGGCAGAGAGAAAGGTGAGGAAGCAGGCTCCCTGCTGAGCAGGGAGCCCGATGCAGGGCTCAATCCCAGGACCCTGATATCATGACCTGAGCTGAAGGCAGGGGCTTATTTTAACCCACTGAGCCACCCAGGCACCCCAGCATTCTTTGTTTTAATAAGTGAGACTCAAAATAAAGTATTATTTGCTTCATATTAGCCTTTTATTATATTAAATCTTTAAAATGATATTTATTCTTATGCTAAAATATTTAGTTTCTTCATCTTAGAAATACTTTATTCATTCATTCCTCCTCTACATCTACTTGGCACAGACACAATTACAACACTGAGCCCGCCTTCCTCACATGTGTGCGTCTGTGTGATTCTAGAGGCTGAGGCACTCATAGTAAAAATGTGTGTATGCAACTATAGTTCCATTATAGGACTTTTCATAGAACACAAGAACTGTGTTTATAAGGACACTGTGCAAAATGGAAGCAGTGATTTCCAAAATGGAATTCTCAGAGTAACACAGGTTCCCAAAGTGACTATTACAAATTTCAAAAGTCAAACAATTTATGACTATACCAATTTGCTAAAATGCCAAGATTCTTTGTTATTGGCCAGAATTACACCAATCCATCCTGGTAATACTGTTTTATGCTGACCAAAACATGTAAATGGGGGTTTAACATATCTTTAATCAAAATGGAAAAGTCAGGGCCTCTAGGTGGTTAAGCGTCTCCCTCAGTCAGTTAATCTCAGGTCATGATCTCAGGGTCATGAGATCGGGCTCTGCATCGATCTCTGGCCTCAGCAAGGAGTCTGCTAAAGTTTCTCTCTCCCATGCCCTCCACCCCATGCTTGCTGTCACTTGCTCGCTCTCTCTCTAAAACAAATAAATAAATAAATCTTTTTTTTTAAATGGAAAAGTCAATTATGGCTTATTAAACAGCATGACAAATAAAATATTTCAGTTCATGGGTTCCACAGGAGAGAAAATGATAACATCTTAAAAACTTATCATTTAAAGTATTGTATGACTGTAATTTAGGATTATATCTTATCTGGTACATTAAATACCTGTCGTCTTAATGAAGCTGCATCTACAACAGTCATGTCGTCTGAAGTTCCTTCAATTGTTGTATCTATATGTGACATGCCATGCCTAGCAGATGAGAAATAAAAATACATTTTAGTATTAGAATAGAATTAAGAGTATCTGGTAAGTCATGTCATGTGTTCGGTAATGTTCAAAGAACTGTTCAAAAGACTGATATTTCACAATATGAATTACTAAAATATCTTACCATCTGAATGGGTACCAACAAAAGAAACCAGAGGAAAAAGCAAAAGTATTTTGAGCAATGACTTAAGAGCTGCCACTCTAGGATATAACAATAAGGAATTCTTCCACACACTCATGTCTTTATGTACTCCCGCAGGAGTCCCTGCTGAGACTCACTGGCAGGGAACACAAAGTAAATGAACTCTAGCTAAAAAAAAAAAGACAGATATCTTTTTTTCTTATTTCTCCTCCTCTTCTAATTGCCTTTTCTCTTGCCATTTCTACCCTTTATTTACTTGTTATTACCTATCTCGACCGTGTCTCCCACAGGAGGAATTATAAAATCGCCTGAGTACATCCTGTTACTATGTTCAGATCCAGAATTGGTTCAATGATAAATCATTAAGAGGCTGTGTATAAAATAATACTGGAAAGCCACTAAGAACAACTCCAGAGAAAGCACATTAAGAAATACTTCTTTTGCAAATACAGTTACTTCTAAAAGAGCACTGCTTTTTAAATGCATGACAATAAACCTCTAAGAAACACATACACACAAATGCTGTTCTTCCCCTTTGCCTGGATTTCCACTTCTTAAGCTTATTTTAATTAACGGCTTAACCGAGATATAATTTACATACCATACAATTCACCTCACATGTTTATATTCTCAGTATTTTAATCCTGTATGGTTATTTCAGTGCAATGGCATAGTAACTTTCCTGAATGAGCAGAATATAAATAAACTGAATTAAAAAGTAATGTTTTTGTAATCCACAGAGAGTTGACACATGGATCATATATTCTAATCTTTCTAGCAAGTCTCCATTACAAAAAGCACATTACCACACAAAGGGGTATAAGGAGAATTACAGTTTCATCCAGACATGTTAAAGACAAGTATATCCAGAAAATCCTTTGGTTTCATATGCTGTTGAAACTTTAATAAAGTAGGTGAAACAGAATTTTTATAATTTTCCAGTGTGCTCCCAGCCAGTGTCGTCATCCTGAACACAGAATGTTCACTGTAGGTGTAGGTAATAACTACAGGTGCTCCAGTTTCAAGGACTGATGGTGTGCACTGACTCTAGATAACACAGAACAATCTCTAAACGTTCCTTTTATTGCAAAAGGAACTTGCTTTCCCATTTAACTGCTCCTTTCTTCACTATAAGAGTAAATATTCTGAAGACTGAGAGCAACTGCATCGGTGAGGTGAGCTGAGAGAGCAGATGTTGGGACTATGGGTTTATATAAATATCAGAGTTCATTATTCTTTTAAACAATAAGAATCATTAAAAGATTAGAGGAGAAAACAGGAGTTGAAGATTCCTTTTCTTTACACCTTGTCTTCAAAATAAAACTTTTCTATTTCCCTGAGATTACCTATGAGAAATAAGCTGGGGGGGGGGGGGGGAAGCAATGGCTTCAAAGGTAAAGGGACCTAGGCTGAACATACAGAAGGAAGTGTAAGTGACAGGGATTACTCAATTTAAATCTTGAATTAAGGTGTTAAACATCTGTAAAGGAAATCTTTATTTGCAAAGAAATCTAGGGACATGGCCAAAGGCTTTATACCTATGTAACTCAAGGTACAACCAAAAAAAAAAAAAAAAAAAAAAAAAAAAATTACTTTAAGGTGTGTCTTAAACTAAAAGCTGTATTTATCAGAACTAAAAACTAAGAAATGTTAAGTCAGATCACAGACTTAAAAGTTCTTTCACAGAAAGAGAAAAGGATCACAAACTTAAGTTCTAACTTCGGGGAAATATTCAAGGGTAAACTTACAATGGATTGAATTAATACTGTGAAAGAAACCAGTCAGCAGAGTAGTAAGGGACCACTAAGGAACTTGGTTTCAATTCCTCTAAGCTAAATTCAGTATTATTAAGAAACTGATGTTTCCCTCTTCTCTTGACAGATTCCTCTCATCATAGAAATGATGCTGACAGTTTTAAATTTACTGCAACAGATCATACATTTCTGCTTAAAATAAGCAAAATTATCTCTGAAAAAAAATGACAGTAATGGTATTTATGAATACCAACTAAATTTCTTTTCCCCAGAAGATGGGAAATAGGGATCTGGGTACCTTAGAACCCTAAGGATTCCTATGTGTCATTCTATCTGTCCTCATGCATGACAGGAAGAAATAATTACTAAGGCTAAGAAGTATGTCTGAAAGAGCTAAAAGAGCAAAAATAAGAGGGAAAAGCTTAAATTAACAATGACAAAAACTCTTCAAACTAAATTTCTTTTTTAAACATTGAACTTCCTAGACTGTGAATGCTGATTTCCCCCAATTTAAGATGACACCTTACACAAAGGTTTCTCCATACACTGCAAATGACAGTACAAACAATTAACAACTAAAAAGGAAATGGTAGACAGAACCCAGGGCAACACTTAAAATGAAGCACATAAAACAAGATTTGAGATGACCTTTTCTGTGTTTCAGCATGATCGTCTATAAGCTCCTAAAAATATATTTAAATATCTCAGATGTTCCCAAGACACCATAACTGTCAAGCATTTTTCTTCATCTTGTAGTAGACAAAGGTCATGAATGACTAGGCTTGCTGTTCTCAGAGAAAAGCAGGTTGTACTCAGAGAGGAAATCTGTAGAAGTTCAAGCTACAATATAAAGGCCTACTACATGCATTATGTCCTGCAAAATACAATTTCAGTCAACTATTTACCCTGATAATTACAAAGTCTCAAAATTTACCTGACGTTGTCATGATGAGGATTAGAAGTGGCGGCAGCAGACCCACCACGCAACACAGGTCTAAGGCAGGTTTTTGCGGGAGAAGGCACAAGACAGAATCAGGAAACAGAGAAGTAATAAAATAAAAGCAAAAACAAGACAAAAAAGTGTCAAATAGGATTATATTGTATGTTGTGATACAATATAATATCTTTCAAATACTTTAAAAATCTTTGTATTAAATGGCCTCCATTTTGATTTTCATAAATTTAACGTTTCACCATGGGTTAAAAAACAAAAGGAACAGATCTTGTGTGACAAGATAGCATGCACATTAAAAAAATTTTCTTTGGTGCCTATTATTTTAATTTATGAAATTCAAGACAGAGGACAACCCTGTTTAAAAGGTCTAATTTCTCTTTTCTAGTTGGAAAAAGAAAATCACTAGCTACTTTGGAAGCATGTCAACAACTGGTTAGTAGCACCTGCATGATCGTGGTTGCTCGTCTGGTAACAACAGCCCTGTCTCAAAAACTGAACATTTCAAGTAACTCCCATTTCCCACAATTCCTTCCCTCCCACCTCAATCATTTGATTTACACCAGATATGTCAATGTAGCTGTGTCTCATTCAAACCTCAGCCCTCGAGAGCAAAGCTGCTAGCCTTGGTTCTGGAGCTGAGACAGTCCCAAGCACAGGCTCTGAGGGCCACGCTAGGGCACATTACAGAAGTACAACCGAATGTGGGAGTCTCATCTTGAGACAACCAGGAGCGACATACAGGGCAGCTGGGAATGAAGACTTAAGGTGCACTGGAAAACTTTGTGGGGATTTTCAGGTTTTAGTACATACTTTGGTTCTAGAGGACAGTTAGTTCTCTACCTAGGTAAGCAGAGTAACCTTTTCACTAAATTTCATCTTTAAAAATCATAAAACAAAAGCTCTCTGTGGTTGCTGGTCAAGTCCCCAAAAAGTAATCAGCAACATTTACCAGCCAGAGAAAGGGGGCTGAACTATAGGGTCCCTATAAGGATTTTAAGAATTATTACCTTCTATTTTAAATGTCTCATTCTCTAAATATTGATGAGGTCTTTGCCTGTACTGAAGTATCAAGGCAATACTTAATTATGGTAAACATTTAATACCAAATGAACTAGATTTTTCTGTAAGTTGGTACAGCTGCAGAATTTTGGCTACATACAATACAAATCATTGTTCTCTGTCGAGTTAATTCATACAAAAAAATGTTAATGTTTAGCTTGTACTTTCCTAAAGGCATTATTGGTGCTTAAAGAAATTTCTGGGGCTCAGAGGATAAGAGATTCAGAGACTGTTGGGGGAGACATGTTAGACTTCTATCGTGCTGGGTAAATAAAGAACAGTGAGAAATCACATATGCTTGAAACAGGCTTTTGAATTGTCCCATCCTACTCATATATTCACTCTGTGGCATAGGAAAACTTACTTCACTACAGTCCTGTGTTACACTGATAGGAGAATTGTCAACTAAATGAAGCCCCTGCTGGGTGTTACCTAAAGCTCTTCTTAAAAATTTCACACTGGTATGTTCAAATGGATCTGCCATATTCAACATATTCCACCACAGAGATTTCCCTTTTATAATGCAGAGCCAGAAAATAATACAGTTACCTTTCACAACGTATTTCATTTTGTCTTCTCACACTGGCAATTGACACATATAATATAAAAGTAAATTAGACAGGTATTTGGCAAAGTTAGAAACTTCATTCAAGTACCACTTTCTACCATAAGTATGATTTAATACATTAAAAAAATCTTTTTAAGTTTGATGTTTGACAATAATGTTTTGTAATTTAAGCAGCAAAAGGGAGAGATCCAAGGCTCTCCAAGTTCTCGCATTAACTTGTATATTAACATTTTTAGTAAATAAATGCTCTGACTTAATAAAGTATGTGTTTCTTCACTAAAAAAAACCAGACACCACTATGGTGAATAAACAGTAATATATTTATATGCATACTTTCAAAAATATCAATTATTAACACAATGGTTTCGTATTCTATTCAAAGCTAATATAATCTGCTTGAGAAAAACTATATAAAAATAATCAAGTTCCTTCTAAAAATAATACTTAAACATGCTAAGGATGACTAATCTGTTGATATTTAAATAATGTTCTTACATGAGAATTAAGTTTCTTTTTTAAAATGTTAATATTTTGCTTTAGAGAATGAGATATGGAGTTCTACAAGATGTCAGGAGACATGGACATCTCCAGGTCAGCCAAGGACTAAATTATATCAGCATAACAGCATTTAAATTTTTGATACATCAATTTTCCAAATGCACAGCACTGACCTGTGTAAATAAACTTTTCTAATATGTATAAAGGATTTAGCTTTGTCTCCATGTGGAGCTTGGTTTTAGATCAAGGAAGTTCCCATAAGAAGGGAAAACAAAAATATAGTACATAAACCTTTCCACAGTGTTCCCTGAAGTGTCAACTAAAAATTGTTCTTCCATCAGGCAACTGTGAATCCACATTTTTTAATGATAATAAAGCAGGCAGGACGTTTTTTTCTTTCTTCCTGCCAAATAATTCTAGCTTAATTTAACTGTACCTAATGTGAGGACAGAAGACCAAAGATAGGATATTGCATTAACATAACCGCCAAGAATAATAAAATAGGAAAGAAAAAAATGATATACAGAGCAAGGAACATAAAAGCACTTAAAACTTTATAAGCAATATTGTTTTAATAATCATGCAAATAGAACATTATCCAAATTTCACATTCCTACTTCTTATATCTGCAAAGTCATGCCAGACAGTTCCCTTATAGAAATAAAAACTGATTTGGTACTTACAATTCTGATTAAATCTTGCTCAACATTTAGATCATAAGAAATTTAAATATAATCATGAAAAAAAAAAAAAAGAAAAAAAAGGAACCCTTTCAATAATGAAAGCATTCAGTAAGACTAATAGAATCTAACCATTTAGGCTCCAAGGTAACAACTAATGGTATGTATCCAGGAGCAAAGAATTATTAATACAATTACTTCATGAATTAAAAAAATTTCTTTTAAGTGAACAAGAAGAGATCATTCCTTTTCAGAGAATGGATTTTAAAGCCATCAATTCATTACAATTAAAAAATGAAGAAAACTTCATTTAGGGCTCAAAACAGGTTTTCATAATAAAAGAATACAAAGTAAATTCTACATTAGTAAGATTTCTGATTTTGTATTTCTTAACTTGAAGCAAAATTCTTTTCCATGATGGAGAAGGACTGTTTTGTGAAGTCGTAATTATTTAATCTATATCAAATTTATAAATATCTTTCTCATTCAGATATTTTCAGTGTAACAGCATTTGATATGACATAATTTGACCTCATAATCTGGTCTCTTCTAAGGACCTACTGTAATTAAAAAGTGAAAGAGGATACCTGGTGAAGAATAAAGCTATTTTAAGGTGGGAGAAGAAAACAGGCCTCTGGGAAGATCAGTTCTTAAGTGCCAGGTACTTTATATTCAGTATCGTTTGAAAGCATCGGCCATGACCCTAAATTGAGGCCATCGTTACCTGTATCTTAAATAAAGATGGTGGGGGCGGGGAGGAAGAGTCTTCACAAGAATCTAGAAAACTAGGTAATATTATTATTACCCCTCTATCTTTTTTTTGAATAGATGAAGAAAATGCGGCCCAAAGAAGCTAATAAGTAATTTGTCCAAGGCCCTCATGTAGCTAGCTGTTCAGTGGGGCGGATCATGATGAATCTGACTGGCCCCCTGAATCCATGCTTTTTCTTCTGAACCATGCTGCTTCTTATAGGATGCAAATACTCTAAGACAGTCCTCCAAACCCGTGGGGAGGGGAATGCAGATGTATACACACATGCATACATATACATGAATGCACATATACATACACGCATTTTTCCTTGCTATGAACTTTCTGTTTTAAGCTCTTTCTGGTGCAGCTTTAAGTTCTGGGGCCCAAATGGAAAGCACTGCATTAACCCTGGGAAGGCTTAGAAACACCAGTCGATGGTACTGACAAGTGTTCATGAAGTACGGTAAAACCTCTGAGGCTTGTATGAGGTTCAAAAGCACTCACCAAGAAAGTTTGTTCAGAGCGAGCCATAAGACATATCAACTCCCAAGGCACGAAACAAGGTTTCCTGGAAGGGCCAGCTGAACTTACTGGGTATTCTTTAAAAGTTAAGTCTTCTAAAATGACCATAAAAATTCAAACAGTGACTCATAGAGTTATGACATAAAATGTTTAGAGTTGAAATGAAACTGCCTATACCTTTCCCACACTATGCCAAAAAGCTCCCCAAATTTTATCTTTTAAAAATACTATGTAGTAAAGAATCAAGGGCCAAAAAAAAAAAAAAAAAAAAAATCTATATCTATATCTACATCTATATCTGAAATATAGGCAAAAAAGAATTTGCACGAGCAGGTCCAAGTATACTACTCATGATTTCACTTGGGGATGTTCAAAAGTGAGAAAAGTTATCAATACTGAAAAATATCAGTATTATCAAAAAGATAATAGCACTTGAGGTTTTCAGTACAGGCCTAGAAATCCGTAGCTAAGAGGAAAGTAAAAGAGTGTCCTGGCAGCTACACTGATACTGTCTTTTCAGATTTGCTTCATTAATCCAACCATATTAGTATCATAATTGATTCGATCAAAAGACTTACTAAAGAAAATCAGTGTGCTTCAGTCCAACATCCTACACAGTCCAACAGTAGGCCTCTGCATATTCCAATGGAGTCAAGTACTTAGGAGAGGTCAACGAAACCTTCGAAAAAAATCATCATACTTCGTGTATATAGTTATTAACTGAATACTCTCCCTGACTAAAGAGAAGCTAACAGAATCTTGTGAAATGTGAATTTTGGACAATAATTCCAAATTAAAAGAAAGCAAAGCAAGTTGTTTTAAACCACTGCATCTTGGAAAGAGATGAAGGTGCAAACACAAAAGGAAGACACCACAGTCCACTAACAAGGAGCCAAAAAAAATATGCATTACAGCTAGCAAGAGTCACTGATGGCCAATCACCTGCGATTTTCATCCAGCACATCCAAGATCTGCTGGTAAGCCCTACGGGTGGAAGACTGGATAAGCGACAAAATGCCTCGAGCAGAGGAAAGATTAGCTCCGTCTTCAGGTAACATTTGGGGAGGACAGACCCGAACCTGTTGTGGCGATGGTGTCACACTGTTTACACAGCACAGCAAATGAAGAGAAAAACACTCAAGTCAGATATTTATAAAACTTCAGCTGACCAGTTTCCCCAAACACTTATATTTTAAGGACTATCTTAGTTTTCTTGTCCCTTTTCCCACCCTTCACTTTCCCCTATGAAAACAGGCAAACCAAACAAGTTAATAAACATATTAAATTGTTTTAAAAAAACAGCTACAATGCAACACCTGTGACTGTGTAGCCTTACACATCAAATTAAACAAACCAAATATGAAAAAACAACTTTGGAGCAGGAAGAGAACTACAGCAAGGCAAGCAGCAGTGGGTTCAACTCCGAGCTTTGGAGAAGCAGCATTCATTACTTGATGTATGTAATCCGATCCAGTCAATCAAACCCCTAACAACCAACACTGCACTGTGACTTACGGATGGTGAGAAGATTAAGACAGAGAGTTCTAGTATACAGGTGTCAGAGTTCAAACACGTGAATCAAAATGATTCCATGAAAATGCCATTGCAAATACTTCACAAAGACAAGGAAGCAAGCTGAGTTTACGATGCGTAAATTAAAAATGATTTGAAGTTTCACAAAGCTGTAACAAAAGCATTTTGATAGCTGAATTATATTAAAGCATATGGTCTCTAGCTAAATGACTAAAACATAAAACTACTCCCAATTCTGTGCAGAGAGTGAACAGAGAGGCAAGAGAGTTCTTAAATTATCCAGATGGATGTTAAACAACCATTTCTGGGCTTCTTGGTGACATAATCTTAATCATTCTTTCCTGTGTAAGCTGAGAGTCACAATTTCTTTGGCTCCATTGCCAGTGCTTCATAAAAGCTGAACATATTTGAATGAAGCAATTTTACAGTTCTAACATAAACTCTGGAGCTTGGTGTATTTTCAGAGAGCAGTTTAATGTTAGGGCATGATCAGTTGTGTGAGGTATTTAAGTGATACCAGGACTTGGCCATCTGGTTTGTTACATTAAGAGGCTTTGTTGCAATAAAAGGACCATGACCCTGGGATGTGGGCTCAACACTTTTTCTCAGTGTCAGTGTAAAAACGCCTTACGCTAAAACTCATCCTTGTGTACTTCATCCAAAAGAATGAAAGTGGAACAGATAGTGAACTGAAAAGAGAAAAATCTTTCATTTTGACTTGTGTAATCTTTTCTAACTCAACATGCATTTTGTTTGAAACCACAGCATAAGTGGGATCATTTTTGAAAGGACAGCTGACATCTAATATTGTTCCCAGAGTCCCCAGAACATTAAAAACAAAATCCACAATTTTGTAACTTTGAAAGTCTTGATGATTCAAAGTAAGAAGTATTATAAATAAGAAAGCCATGTTTTCCAAAGACTATTTAGAAGAAAAAAATCTAAGCTATAACTTGGCATATTGAGAAATTAATTTATCAGGGCTAATTCACCACAGGAATTTGGCCTGTTGTTGTCAAGATAAATGCAAAATTTTGGGTGCTCATGGATGATTACCCTAAGTGTCTGTCCAGAGATTCTATAATATATATAAGCCAATTTATCAACTGACCCATGATACATGGCCAAACCCATATTGAATCCAAGATGCATCCAAGAAGAGTAAATCTGGGATACAAAGTCTAGGTACTAGCCTTGTACTCAGCCCTCTCTTTAGGGAGCACAGGGAAAACCTGAGCTTCTTGCTCTTTGTGAGAGAGCAGACTGAATTCATGTTAGAAAAGTGTCACCAGAAGCAGGAATAAGAAGGCCAGTTCTATAACTATAAACAAACAATCTAACTTACACTCTCTTGATAGAGCTGGCAACAAACTTGGCTTTACTTAAATTGTAAAAGACTCACCAGTACAATATTCTGATATAATTGAAGTTTTTTTTGTCTTTGCATTTTGGGGCTTAAATCAAACATCTGGCACATCAATCTGCATCAGTAAATACATTAGCTAAACACTAATATATTAAAGACTATAATAATCAATATTTAGAATTATAATCTTGGAGCAACAATGTCAATAAACTAAATCCAAATTCACGACAGAAGTTTGACGGATTTTTGTCCACTAAAAATTACAGAAGGGTTACTTCCTTTGAGAGAAATAACTTTGTTAGAAACAAGTAAAAGGAACTATTTATTTAACGTTCTAAAAGTACAAGTATCTCCTATCTGTACACAGAAAATCAGGTGGCCATTTATAAATTAGTCAAGCAAAAACAGAATAACTGCAAAAAATTCTTAGGAAGGAATGCACAGAAGGTTGAGTTTGAAAACAGTCTATAAGATCTCTGCTGATTCTAAGATTCTATGCATGATGATATGAAAATTGGAATATGATAACAAATGAAAAAACCTACATGATCTTCAATTATAACTTAATAAGAAAAAACATTTATATAGAAGGATAAAAGATGAAATTAAGTCCTTATCAATACTAGTAAAGACATTTATTTCATCAAAGACCAAAATCAAAAGCATATTTGGATTTCTGGTAGTTTCTCAAAAGAAGTTAAAGTTCCAAAGATTAGTAAGAACTTTAACTTACTTTTCAGTATTTATTTGATAATCCTTCATAAACACCAAAAATAGAACAGGAACTATTTTTAAAACTGCTAACCACTTTGGGCAGTATATGTATAGATAAAATGTCCTTGACTAACATTTCCATCTATAGTTGAACCAAATGATTAAATTACAAATGACCAAAATTACCATAATTAGAAGTAATAAATACTTTAGCAATTTTTTTTCTTTTTAAAGCTTTAAGTGGTCTTGCAGGTGTTTTTTAACGAATAAATTTAAGAACAACAACAACAAAAAAGCAAGCCCATTTTAGCAATCAGCCTGACTGGCATTAACTGTGGAAGGAAACAAGTGTTTAGGTTTTTTATCTGTCTACTCTGTCTACACACAACCCAGGTGTACTGACTTTAGTTTTGACAAGCGAATTATTGTGAAAAGCAAAAAAGTAAACATATTGCCAAGGCACTGGGATTATTAAAGCAAATGTTATAATATTAGTAATTAAATAGAAATGTACTTTGATAATAAATTGATCCAAGTAATGTTATAAAACAGCAAAATGTCTTTATCTTTTTCTTTTACAAAAGATTAGGAAATTTTGAAGAAAGTGCTCATGTTTACTGTTATCATTTCAATCTTACTACATGAATGTTAAGTAAACAACACTAGCCAATGTGAGAACTAAAATTTAAATGAAAATTTATTTGGCATAACTATGTCATTATTAAAAGATTAGTCCAAAGTCAAGTACCTCTTTCCCCAAGGGTTTTCACAGGAACAATGTTTCTCAAACTGTGAGGGTATAACCTCTTTGGTGAGGCTCCAACCTCTTCCAAAAACAGTAAAAGTAAAATCATGAAAAGGGGGAGAAAAAATTTTCATGGAAACACAAATTTTGTACCATTTCTCTTGAAAACATTTAAATTTTAATTATTTATTTGACAGAGATAGAGACACAGAGAGAGAGAGAGTGACAGACAGAGAGCACAAGCAGGGGGAGCAGCAGAGGGAGGGGGGGAAGCAGGCTCTCCACAGAGCAGGGAGCCTGATGTGGGACTTAATCCCAGGACCTTGGGATCATGACCTGAGCCGAAGGCAGATGCTTAACCAACCACCCAGGTGCCCCATTTCTCTTGAAATTTTAAATACGAAACCTTAATTTTTTGCCATTATCTGAGGCAATTCCCTGGTTCCTAGAAACATATTAAGAGAAAAATCAGCTTCTGTGGCTCAAGAACTGCTGCGGCTATTGAATTCCTATACAGCAGGCTAAAATAGCCCCACAAGAGGTCAGTCACTCCCACACCTTGTTCTATCACACTTACAGAAAGAATTGGTTTAAATGATCTCAAAACATTCTTCTAAGCATTTTAATCTATGGAATTAAAAAAAAAACCTTAATGACAAATCACTCTTACAACCCATTCTCCTTCTGGATGAAAATAAGGAAAGAAAAGATAGTGTGCTAAAATTGAAAAAAAGACTGGGGTTACCCGAACCTGGTTAAGTTGAATCTATAGAGAACTAATATACCAACCAAAGCAAAATAAAGAAAATAAAAAAGGATGCATGGTCCTTATGTGGAAATTATTTCATTTTACTTTACTGCTACACTCCAAATCATACGTAACTTCCTTAATTGGTCTAGCTCTTTTTTTTTCTTAATGAAGTGTATGTTGACAATTTGAGAAATCCTAAAACCCAGGTTCTGAAAAGCCAAACAGTAAGAGCATTAGGGTATTATACGATGATAATTACTTGGTGAAATATTAGTATAACATACGCCTGCAAAATTAAAACAACTCCTAGTTGTGAAAAGCAGAGCAGATAAAACCTTACGTGTACTCCGGTGCAGAAGTCGACGCCTGGAACCTTGAAATTTTATTTCTTGGGGCAGAATCTGATCTGTGCCACCTTAAATAATAATTATGCTTCTTTTACATTCAGCTTTTATAACAGAAAGAAAAGCTAGATACAAGTCTACTGTTCAGAATTCATGTTTGTGTCAATAGTGGACAACAATCAATCCTACTAACTCTTGAAAGCAATTAGGAAAACAAAGGCCGGTGCTCCTGCTCTTCTGTCTGTATGTACTTCTACTCTTCAAGCCAAGGAATAAAATAAAATGGAAGCAGGCAAAGGTTCATGCATAATGACACATAGTTAATTTTACATTACAAAGAAGAGACTAAAGTAGGTAAAGACAAAAATGGTTTAGTAATTACATTAGTGGAAGTAAAATGTAGCTGTTTTACATCAACAATCTCTTCAATACCACATTACCAACACTGAATATATAACAGGGCTCATTACATAAAATTCCTAATGTTAACTACATGTAGATTCTTACAGATGAATTATAAATTTTAAAATTAATAATGGTAGGGGAAGAAAAAGCAAGGTTACATTATTAACAAAAAGATGGTTAAGTATCTTACCATGACATGGTAATATACGAAACATAAAAGTATGGTTAATGTAAATATGGTAATACAAGAATTTCACCGTGAAATGTATAGTTAAATATGCACGTTATTTTTGCCACCAAAAATTAAAACATGAGCTTTTCAGTTTTATTAAACAGCTAGAAAGTGCCATTAAGGCAACTTAAACACAAAAAGAAAGAATACAGTTAACTCTCTAATCTTCTCTGTTATGAGGAACTTAAGTTATTGGTAACTACAAAAATACCTATGAACTAATCATCAACTCTAAATTATACCTCTCTAAGCTGATTTTCAAACATAGTAAAGCTGTTTCCTTTCTCTTCAACTCAACTATCAATAGTTACTTAAAAACCAAAAGTGATGCTATCCTGTAACAGTCCTGTTTTTCTCACTGGTGTGAAATTTCAAATTTATTAGAGACCTAAATAATAAGCCACATCTTCATATAACAGAAAAGTTTACTAGAAACCTTCGCTACCTTGTAAAATATTTCAAAGAGAGAATAACAAAAGCCCTTTGGTATACACTTAATCATTCTGATAGGTACTAAATATCAAGAAGCTATCCTAGCCATCAACTATGTAGCCTTCTTACCATTTGTGTAATATATCTGAAAATATTCTAGAAAAATGGATTTCATGGACCAGCTGATATCCCTGCCAACCAGGTATCTTCAGAGAAACACAATTACCATAAAAAATTTCATTTTAATGGTTGAACTTTTCAGGTACTTCCTGAAGGAGAGATATGTTCATTTTCACTCACTATCTTTCTATATAACCCTTCAGAATAACTAGAACACTTTGGGAGACGTTTCAACATTTTCCAAGAAATCAGAACAGTTACAGTTCTCCTTTGTGCCTACTACAAAGAAGAGAGAGCCTAATCCCATCAAAGCCCCTCTGCATCCCTATATTCTTCAGTCAGGTCCAAACTAGAACTTGATGTAGTTTTAACACAAATGGTGTATTGTACTGTCCTGCACTTTAGTTGTATATACATTTAAGTGTTTTGCTTTTATCTAGATTTGCAAACTCTGAGAGAAATGCTCCATCCCCTGATTCTGTTGTAGTTCCCAGAGAAGCTAACAGGATAGTTCATGATGAATGAGTTCATGAAAACTGACACAAAATGGAATGAGGAAGATATATTAATTTACATAAACATTCCAAATCATTTATTTAGAAAAGCCAAAATCACCAATGGATTTGAGACTTAAAATTCTGAAGAGATTTTAAAGGGATAGTTTATCTGTAAAAAAACATTAACTTTAAAAAAACCACAAAACATCTGCCTGATCTAAAATATCTTATAGTTGGGTAGCTTTAAGATCAGAGTATGATAATACAACCAAATAAAAACGCCGAAACAAACAGCCCTTTAAACAATATACTTGTACTTTTGGAAAATGAAATGGATCTAACAATTCAATGACTCACTCAGTAGGCAGAGAGCTAAACAACAATCCATGAAAAGTAAAACAATTCCACTTGCCTAAGCTACATGGTTTACCACGGCTCATTAGAAGCAGAGCCGGAAGGGCCAGTTCACAATCTAATGACAAACTGAGTAACTTGAAAATAAAGACACTTGCTTAAAGTGTTTTCTTTTTGTTTTGTTTTTTCAATCTACATGCTAGATAAACTTTTTGAAGGCTGCACAGAACTGAGCACTTACATTTATCAATTTCTCTTAAGTATACTTAATAAGCAATTCCCAAAATAAGTAAATCATACTTCTAGAATTCTGCCATCCATATTGAAGAGGATAATGCTACTGGAAAGTTCTCACAACATATTTTAAGGCTATAAAAAACCCACAAAAATGTAAAATTGATGTAAATGTAAAACAGATTTCAAACACTTAAAAGCAAATCATTTACTTTTTTCTCAGGTTCTTAGGCACGAAACACATACTTTTTTCTTTTTTTAATATTTGGGAGTAAAAAAAAGAATTATTTAGAAGTAGATGGGAGAATACATGGAGAAAACTAATAAAGGAGATACACTGCTCAGTCGTTCTACTCACATGGAGTCAGCTCTGACCAGCTGTCCGTTTTGGCGAACGGCATTTTCACTCATAGAGCGCTCTCTTTTTAGCCTGCCAACTGCACGGATCTGTGAGGCACAAAGAAAGAGAGAGGAATAGAAAATATTCTGAGTAGCCTAGTAGCTCCTTAGTATCTAAAGAAGCTTAATCCAAGACTATTCACAAAATTTACAAAGAACATAACCAAGATTGCTGTCATGCAGGAGTACAAAAGACAGGTTAAAAACAACAACAACAAAAACCCCTACCTGTTACAATGCAGATAAACCTAGGAATGCTTCTTAATCTCCTGAAAAAACTACCTCTGGTTTCTATTTAAGTATCAATCTTACTTGGTACAATTATATTTTTATTTATTGTAATTAAAGGCATATATATTATAGGAAATGGGATGTATTTGTATTACAAATAAATGTTCCAGGCTTCTGGGACTAAAGCAAATTCAAATTTGGTTGCATATTTGAAAACTAGATCAAAAAAAAAAAAAAAAAAAAAAAAAAGCCTTGGTACTAGCTTAAAAGTTTTGGCATTCCAGAAATAGCCACATGCTCCCAACCCACATGCTCTTCTTACAGAATGTATCACTGACCTTCTCCATTAAAGGGATAGGATTTATGTTCCCTTCCTTTGAAATTGGGTGGACTGGTGACTGCTGTAGAGGTGATGCAATGTGGCTTCTGACACCAGGTCATACACAGCAATAAGGCTTCTGCCTTTCTTCCCTAAACTGTTCATGTTTGGAACAATGGCACCAGGATGTGAAGATTACCACGAAGTCACATGGAAAGGCCATGTGTAGGTGCACCACCAGCAACTGTAGCTGAGGTCCCAGACAACAGCCAGTATCAACAGACACATGAGTAAACCATCAGCTGATTGTAACTCGGGCTGTAGAGTCACCCAAAATCATCCCTCGCTTTGAGACTTCCTAGCTTAGACCAAGGTATTGTAAAACAGAAACAAGCTTTCCCCATTATGCCAGCTGCAATTCTTCACACACAGAATCCAGGTCCGTGAGCAAGAAGGAATTTTGGTTTTTCCTTTTTCTTTTAAGTTACTTAAGGTGGTTTAAATACAGAGCGATAGAACAATGATAATCACTAACTTTTCTGTTTGTTTAGGGGTTTTTTGTTTTTGTTTTTAACTAGAAACAGCCATGGCAACTTCATGGTTTAAGAAAAAAAAAAAAGGTAAACTTTACTATAAAGGACAACTGGTATGTGAACCAAGGGACTTGAAAGTTAAGATTTTAAAAAATGCAAATCAGTGCCTAGTGATGATTTTTTAAAAACTTGAGAGTAGACAATCAGGTTACAAGCACCTTCAATGGAGAATAAATCCAGATTCTACGACAACAAAATTTAAAACCATACTATGCAGCACATAATTCCAGAGCATGGTTTAGATTTGGTTATGGGTTATGAACCATTTATCCACTTGAGCAAAAGAAAAAAAAATACTTCTAGAGACAAAAAAGGAGTCAGTCTGAAACCTACTGTAAGAGCTCTTTACAGTTAAACCAAAAATAAAAATTCCTTTAAAGCAGTATGTATGTGTATATATATATACACACACATATATATAGGTGTTAAGTTATATACAACTTAAATATATATATAACAATATATATATATTGTCCAACATGTAATGTCCAACAATACATTGTTATATATGCATACATATATGCAATATATATAGGTGATATATTTATTTCTGTATCTACATCTCTATCTCTTAATACCTCTTCAATCAAGTACACTTGATTCAGAGAGCAGTACTGGTCTGTGAGAATCCCTGTGATCCCTGCGTTCCATCTCCCTAGAGAACAGCTCTTCCATGCTGCAGGGATCAAGATGAATCCTCTACTAAATCAGAACCATTCCTGCTGTTGTGGTGTGAGAACTAAGATTAAGCAGGGCAGGCAGTGACAGGAGAAAACAAATTAGGTCTATGACTTCAACACAGCCTGGAAACTAGAGGATCCTAAGTCTGCTATTTTCACCATTTGAAATCTGATTTAAAGATAACTTACCAGGAACACTAAGCCTGATACTACTGCATACTGGAGGGAAAAAGCAACTTCAAACAAAAGCATACATTTGTCAAGGGTGCCTGGGTGGCTCAGTTGGTTGAGTGACTGCTTCACCGGGAGTCTGCTTCTCTCTCTGACCTTCTCCCCTCTCACTCTCTCTCTCTGTCTCTCTCAAATAAATAAATAAAATCTTTAAAAAATATATACACTTGTCATGCCTTCTAATACGACCAACTTGTATCCTGTAATACCAAAGTGCATGGACACAGCCTGAGGTGATAAGGAACACCATCTTTTAAATATTTCCACCCTTTAGTTCAGTCGTGGTGGTAGTTTTTTCAATCCAAGGTTTTTATTTATTTTTTAAAATTTTTTTTTTCCAGCTGTATTGAAATCTAGTTGACAATTCAAGGTTTTTAAATGTCATTCAGAACGAACCAGCACTGGTTACCCATTTAAAAACTTGTGTTCTGGGGCGCCTGGGTGACTCAGCCAGTTAAGCGGCAGCCTTCGGCTCAGATCATGATCCCAAGATCCTGGGATCGAGCCCCACATCGGGCTCCCTGCTCAGTGGCGAGAATGCTTCTCCCTCTCCCACTCCCCCTGCTTGTGCTCATTCTCTCTTTCTGTCAAACAAATAAATAAATAAAAATAAATAAATAAAAATAAAAACTTGTATTCAGTTCTGAAGCTGAGAAAGTTTCCCAGCTTCAGGTAACTTCCTGCAGGCCTTAGGGTCTTCTGTGTCTGATAATAGGCTTAAAATTCCTCCCTCCTCATTTATACGGCCTAAGCGATGCTAAGAACACTAAGGACTGTCATGATTTGGTTATTTTGCAGTTTCTTGCCCAGATCAGTTTATTACTTGGTTGCTTTTATTAGTTTCCTGCAGGTAGAATCATCAAGCGACGGTCATGTCCTAGAGTGGCCTTCCAAGTACAGATTAGGTATATTGAAAGGGTTCATCAACTTCCTCTCTACCAGCCAAGCCTCCAGATTTTATAAACCCTGTCTATGTGAGGCGATTACCTGCATCATGCTTTAAGCCTTCTCCATGTGTTCCCTTGGGTTCTTCAAGCCAGTTTAGGAATTTAAGTGCAGTTACTTTCTGCAAACTTATTCATTGTGTCAGACAACATTTTAGACAACAATTTCTACAGCCTTCTTCATAAGCCACCTTCTTAGAGTCTCCTTTTTTGCCATAGGCCAGTGGTTCTCAAGGGTGATTTTGCCCTCAAGGGGACATTTGGCAATGAATGGAAAGAATTTTTCCTTTATTTTTATTGTGATGAATTACACATAACATAAAATTTACCATTTTAAACTACTATACAATACAGTGTATTTGATGCATTTGAACGTGTAACCATCACCTCTACCTAGCTCCAGAACATTTTTATCACCCCAAAAGAAAATCCTATAATGATTAAGCAGTCATTCCCAATTCCCCTTTCCCTCAATCTGCTGGCAACCACTAATCTGCTTTCTGTCTCTATGGATTTGCCTATTGGATATTTCATGTAAGTGGAATCATAAAATATATGGCCTTTTCTGTCTGGCTTCTTTGATGTAGCATAATGTTTTCAAGGTTCATCCATGTTGTATAATGTGTAAGTACTTCATTCCTTATTATGGCTGAATAATATTCTACCATATGGATATACCACATTTGGTGTATCTATTCTTCAGTTGATGGACACTGGGATTATTTCCACCTTTTTTTAGCTATTAGAGACATTTTTTAATTTCATGATTTGGAGGATTCCTCTGGCATTTAGTGCACAAAGATCAAGAATGCTGTTAAACACTCTACAATACAAAAGGAGAGCTTTCACCACAACAAAGAATTATCAGGTCCAAAATGTCAACAGTGCCAAGGCTGAGAAACCTTGACATATGCTGCAAAAGGACTACTACAGAGTCAATGATTCAGGGGATCTCACTTGATAGGTTCTGACTAGGATCTGAATGAATCATCAGAGCAGCACTCAGAGTCTTATTGGCCTCTTTCAATCCATCTTCTAGAAGCTACTAGAACTCTGGTTCTTTTTCCTTTCTCCTCTAGTCAAGAGGCTGATTGTCTTCAAGGCTGCAGGACCCTTCCATGGACTTGAAGTACAGGTCATCATCTTTGCTTTCCTTTCAATAGACAGTGGGTACTAATCTCTGAAACTCCTTTCTTGCATCTCAGGATTTGGCTCTTGCCACAGGAACTTAACTTTTATAACAATAGTATTTAAACATACAAGCTTTTAACATAAATTAGAACATGTGCTAAACACATTACATGCATTATTATAGTTATTCTCATAATAATCTTAAGTACTTGGCATTATTCTTATCTTTCTTTTAGAGATGAGCCTCAGAATTAATAAATAAGTTACCCAAGGTTATGTCATTAATAAGTAGCAAAACAGGTGTTCAGAATTAGGTCTCCTTTTCAACTCAAGTTTTTCACTATGGTGCTATATACTTTGGGCATTTACCACATTTGACTAAATGTACTCTTACTACTGCAGGAGTAAACCCCATAGGTCTACTGAGGGCAATCCCGGTAAACTTTTTTTCTTAAAAGTAATCACTCAAGAAAGTGCCTGACTTGTTTTCAATCAATTATTTTCACCAAGTAGGCAGTTAAGTTATCTAAAATAGTGGGAGCAGAAAGATCAAAAGGAAAACAAAACTCGAAGAATATTACAGGGAGGGTTTCTCCCCGGTAGAATCCTCACTCCAAGACATTATTATCCACAGCAGCAATTTCCACTGGGAACTTTTGTGTAGGAAGCTGGGCCTCTAACTGAAAGCGTGCTTTGATACCTTTCATCTTGCAGGACAATTCTCATACCCTGCATTATTCTTTGCTATTGAGAACTTTGCATCTTCTGTGTGTGGGTGTCTCTCCCTCACTCATGCCAGGATGCACGAACTCTACCTCACCTCACAGGGTCTTACACAAAAGCTCAAAGAATGTTTGTTAAATAAATACAATCCTACAAGTATCTCAGTGCCTTTTCACCATGTGAACACTCAAATTTAGTGCTTTTCACCAAGCATATATCTAGAATGTCCAAACTGGCAGCTCTATTATCTCATTACCTCAACAAAAACTCCCAAGCTAAGAAAAGGCCTCCCCGGTACTAGGACATTGCACTCCTCTGGGTTGTATGGATACTTTACCCTCATTGGAAAGGACTAACATGAACAAATGAAACACAGGCAGTTCCGCCATCAGTAAAAACATGTTTGCATATTGTCTTATGCTAACTTCATGACAACACAGAAGTTCAGAAGCTACAGCGTAAAAGCTGCAACTCTAAGTATCATCACAGAAAAGAAATTTTACAAAATTGGCTCTGAATCAATGGGAGAGGCAACATCTGAACTTTGCTACTAACATCTCATTAGTCCAAGCTGCCATATCTTGGTCAATAGGGCTATTAATGTTACAAGGTATATTAACTTAGGCTTTTTAGCAAGCTAGATTAGGTAGTATCAAGGAAAAAAAGAACTTTCCTTGTCCTCTTTGCCAGACATCTTTTGTAATAAAGTGATATATTAATTTTCTATGCTAAACTTTCCAACTCTTTCAGTATTGCTTAAGGTGTAACTCCTAGCCATAAAAATTCTTCCATCTAGACCATGTGAATGTTAATGATTCCCACAAAACTTCCATTTTCCTGAAACATAACATTTAAACTTTAAAATATAGCATAATATCTTATTTGGGTTATCTATGTAGCAGAATTTATGGCAAACAATGGTCCATGTGGAAGGCTTTCATTACATATTGCTAATGTAGGAGTTATAGCTTTCAATCTTCTTTACCTTTTGCTTTTACCTATATCATTTCAAATTCACTTGACATTAAAATTGTACTTACTTCTTCATTTTGAGGGGTTGGAGGAGGTCTTTCTAAATCCAGAAAATCTAGTGGTCTTTCACTTAGTGTAAGTACACGAGGTGGTGTTTTTAGTGCCAGAGGTTTAAAGGGAGTTGACTGAATAAGGTCAAGATCTGCTGGTCTTGAAAATGGAACGTCTTCATTATTTCCTAGGAGTGTAAAAAAACAGGGAAAGGTTTTGAAAAGACAGTGGTTTCATTAAAATGTATCTGCCACTACATACCCCCAGAATGACTAAAATTGAAGACTGACATTTCAAAGTGTTGACAAGGATGTGGTGCAATGGAAATTCTCATACACCACTGATGGGGACATAACAGGTACAATCAGTTTCAAAAACAGCTTGACAGTTTTTCATAAAGTTAAATATAACTTATGGTATAATCTAGCAATTCCACTCCTAGATATATGAAAACACACATCCCTACAAGAACATGTACTTTAATGAGGTTTTATTCCTAACAGCCCCAAACAGGAAACAACCCAAATCTTCATCAACAGATGAATTCACAAACAAATTGTGGTATATTCACATAGTGGAATACAACTCAGCAATAAAAGGGAATGAAAAATTGATACAAGCAAGAACATGAAAGAATTTCAAAAAACATTACACTAAGCAAAAGCCAGACCCAAGAGTATAAACGAAACTCTATAAACTCTATAAAAGATGAATCTAGTCTCTGGTTATAGAAACGAGATTATGGTTACGTGGAATTTGGGGGGAGGAACTAAAGGAGATGGGGCACAAGGGAATATTTCAGGATAATGAAAATGTTCTATATCTAGACTGTGGTGGAAGGTCACAAGAATATATGCATTTGTCAAAACTCATCAAACTTCACACTTAAAAATTACATGTATTTTATGTATGTAAATTATGTATCAATTAGTTGAATTATTAGAAAACAGTTTGAAATTTCAGTTTTATTAAACTTTTGAAAATAATGTAAAGTTTTATTTCCCATCCCCTTTTCTAAATAATATTTTGAAAAACCCAGAAGTTTTCATAAAAATATAAAAAAACAAAGATTTATCAGACAACTTTATAAACAAATGTAAAATACCTGCTACAACAATCCTTTCTGGAACCTGCATAATGACACTAGCATTTGGAACTCCTTCTTGGAATCCTTGTTCCAGGTCAGCATTTGGTGGTGCTACCTTTAATTTCTCCGGGACCCTCATTTGCTGACTAATACCTTCGGTGTATTCCATTTCATACTGAATTCGACTAATCTCCGCCATCTCAGCAGCAGTGGAAGAAGGAAAGGCTGCCCCACTCACTCTATGGGCAAAAATTTAAAGACAGGGGTGACTGTTAAAATGTCAGTCTTCTTTACATAGTGAAGTTAGAAGACAATACCTTGTAGGAAGCACAAAAGGAGACTTCTTATTTGTATTGAACACGTACAAAGGGAAAGTAAAAGATTGAAGACAATGTTTAACTCAACATAATGCCTTCTCATTTATCAGCTGAAATGGCACCCTGAGGATATTGGTTAAGAGCAAATTTTAAAATTATTGTATAAGACAAATGTGCACACACATATACACTCTCCTTCTCTCTGCATAACTACGCATGCTGCTTATAAAAAATGAATGAAATAAAACTTAAATTCTGAGGGAAAGCTGCTAGGATTTTATAAAAATGAAATTAGGAATTGCTGTCATGCATGAAAAAAATAAAACCTTTTAATGATGAAAATCAAATTCATAAAGTAAATAAGGCTAATTCTAAATTTATTTAAAAAATGTAGTCCCCTGAAAAATCATAAGATACAAATTCAAACTTCTCTTACTGAATGTATACCTGGTTACTAAGATGCAATGGACACCAAATATAGAATATATAGCAATAAACCCTTCCTGTATGCATTTGTTTCATGGGATTATAAGCCTCACATTAATCTGTATTTAGGATCATACTTACATGTATATTTTTAAAAAGCATGACACGTCTTTAAGGGGAAAGACAGTACAAATGCATGAATAACCTTCTAAATTAGAGAAGGATCCATGCTTCAGGAAAATGCAGAGGAAAGTTACCCCCAAATATAAAACGTAGAAAGAAGTGTAGAAGAGCATGGTTAGCCTATGGCAATCAGCTTTAAAGCCACTATCTCTCAAGCCTTTAATACCAGCTCAACTGAATAAAATGTCACTGACCTTCCTAGTGGTGTGTCACTGCTTGTTCTTTTACTCATTTTTAATACAGTAAATACACGTCTAGAATAACTATTAAGATACTGCTACCCTGTAGTTCAGTTTACTTTATACAACAATTCCCCTACAGATCTGAACTTTTTGGAGGTGTACATAACAACACGGACACTGCTTTTCCAGCTGTAAAAAAGAAAGAATAAAGATCAGTATTTCAACAATTCATTTATTTAAAAAACCATGAATACAAGTAAATATCTATTTCAAATTATCTTCTAAGACTTGATCTACAAAACCAGTTTTCAGATTTCTCCTAAACAGAGTTATTCTATACCTCAAAAATCATAAAGAAGATTTTACACACAGTCACTATTTTATGATTTTCCAAACAGGATAATCAAATGTATATAAAGTCAGAGTAAAAAAAAAATTTTTTTTTTGCCATAAGACTCCTTTTAATCATTATATTCTGAACAGGGGAAAAAAGTCCTTTTCTTTTTTTAAGGCTTAATTACAATACAAATGAAGAAATTATGAAGAGAATATAAAGTGCAGAAGTAAATGTATTTGAGATACCTAAAAAACTGATGTTTAAGTAATGGTTTCTTTAAAAGGAAACGACTTCAAAAGCCAAATTACACCGAATTTTCAGCAAAAGATATTATATATAAATCAAGGGCAATGAAAAGTAAAGATGATATAAAGGTGAGTCATACCTGGGATATTTCCTCAACTCCATGTCAGAGATGTGTTACGACCCTTGAACCACCTCAGCACGATGCTTAGGAGAGCTCTGAGAGGTCGCTCAGAGGGCTAAGCCCTGACAACTGGTTTGTTCTGACTGCTAAATTGCCTCCTTTATTCTTTACCAAAATGTGCGAGTTTTAAGGATCTGGCATGCAGATGGTTGAAAGACTAAGAAAATAGAGCCAAAAGACAAAATTTTTACTCACAAATGTGTACCAACTACGGCTTGCTATTTGGCACTATCTGCTTCTGTGCTTCATATTAAATCCTTTAACTTGCTTCAATGTGCCTGTGCTGGATTTTGAGCCACTTTTGTCCCTAGGGAAGAAAAACAGGAGCTAATTGAAAACCTGCATGATACCAACATTAGGAATTCATTGCCGGAAATCCTCTAAATGATAAGTCACCAAAGACATACAAACTTACATTAAGAAGCTAATACAATAAAGAAAAAATTAACAAGCTTATTACCAATTTTAATCCCACAGACAGGGCCCTACACGCATTCATTAGTTAATGCAAAATAAAATATAGAACTGCCATCATCTCTGATCTGAATTTAGAAAGATGTGACAGATGAAAAATACTTGGTTGGATGGACTCATAATATTGATGTGTATATACATATATATCAAGAAGGAACAAATGCATTTTGCTTAAATTGTCATTCAGCTATTTTCATGCAATACTTAATTTAATTTCATATTTATTTCATTCACAACTTTCAATCAATATTTGAATTTGAACCAGTAATATATGCACATGTTACAAAGCACACGAGAACATTCAGAGAAAACAGTGTCCCACCAGACCCTATACTATAGCGACCTAGGTCCCCACAGGCAATCTCTAATTTTTGTGCATCTTTTTAGAGGAGAAACTCTTCCAATACTTGTGTATAGATGAATCACAATAAGAGCTTGTATTCAGATATGATACTGAAAAGAGACATCTCAAAAGAATTATAGCCTTGGGACACTATAAGTTGAAGTTTTATAATAAACAAGGAACACGTATAACCAGAACATTATCTCTCTGAAATGTGCTCTTCTCCCCACTCCATTTACTGCATTTCAGTCTTCACTGACTTTGCACCAATACATCCTATGAGTGTCAAAATTTCATTCTACAGCAACATCTTGTTTTACGAGAATCTGTCTGTAAAATAGCACAGACTTAGATCATAAAGACAGATGCTGAAAAGACAACTTCTAGAAGAAGCCAAATTCTCCTGTACCCTATTTGAGCTACTTAAATTTAAAAACCAAATGGAACTTTTCTAAGATGTAACACTGTACTGTCCTAATTAGATCAGAATCTATCCCCCCCCATTAGACTATAGCATTTTTGGTATTATCTTTTGGCAATACATAAAACAAACTTCTCATTTGGAGTTAAGATATTAATTCCAGAGGTTCTGTCATTGCAAACTACTAGTCAACCAGTGTATGATTCATATAATTAAGGAGACAAAATCTCTCTCAAAATCACAGATGATCTTAACCTCTAATTTCTAAGTCTTTGAGTTCCCAAACACCAGTAATTTACCAATTTTATATAGTTTTTTCCACATTCCCACAGTGCATTTATTCTTACCTACATTTTTTAGCTCAACTTTTAAACATCTTAAATAAATGTATTTTAAAAGGAAACTTTACATCACTACCTTAAACCATACATATATAAATACATATTACAAAAACTTAACTAAAAGAAAAAACCCTCATCCATATACTATCTAGAATCAAGTCAAATTCCACTCCTGGAAAATGTCCGAAATGTGGGACACAATGACTCAAGCTTGACTTTCTTATTTTCTATATTAGACCACTGGAACCCAGAGAAATAGTCCAGGAAGTCACAGAAACAACTTAGGCCAAATTGATTGTGGCTGCAAAGATTTATATAATTCTCCAATTTTGAAAAAAAAAAATATCCGGTTCTTTATCACTTATTGTTGTGGACCTAGTTCAAGGTTTTTATATAGGTCACCCTGTTTCTATTCTCTTTTCAAGCAACTATACTTAAAAAAATAAGTGCATTAACAAATCAGGGTATAGCAATCCAGGATTAATTGCAGTTTTGAAAGAAAAGTAACCAAAAAATTGAAAAAACACAAATCCACAAATTTTAAAATAAGGGTATGAATCTACAGAAAACAAGTTTCAAAAGCAGAAGGGAGGAAAGCAACTGCTAAACTTTGTAATCCTAAAACGAGGCAGCCCTATCGGACAGGAAGGGATAGTACACACAATTTCCTTTTGGAAAGAACAGCAAAACCAATTCCCAAGGGTTTGAAACCAAAAAGAGAACAGCTCCTACACATAATTTAATTACACGGGGAGAAGACTACTTAATAGTTTTACTAAGTCATTCTAATTCTTTCCAAATCCATTTTCCTGAGGGTTTTTCCTTTGGGATCTCATTAGCTGACGAAATTGACACAGAAAGAAACGGTTTTTCATTTAGGGAGAGAAAACACTTAAGGTCCTTCAGGTCAAGTCTCTCAGTGAGTGGATGGGAGGCTTGAATACAACTGGCTCTACATTAGGGAACAAGGGATCTGGGGCTTTTCTTATTTGCCGCAATGAAAAGCTGTCACCACTTGGAAAGGGTCGTCATCCCTACAGAGCGCCCCTTGCTCTAACGCTATAGGACGCGGCCCGGGGTGTTCCTGCACCATCCAAGGGGCCTCGTCCTGCAGGCGAAGGTCAGAGGCTCAGCAGAACCGGCACCTGAGCTTTCCTTCTCCGGCTTCCCAGCTCCTGGAAGGAAAGCCGAGGAGCAACTAACTCCCAGCATCCCCACCTGGGAGCAAGCGTGCTCACGGACCCACCCGACCCCGGGCCTCCGGCGGCCGACCAGCTTCCAGTAAAGCCTTCCTTTGCAAACACGTCTTTCCCACGAAGTAAAAACAAAAACAAAAAACTACTTGTCAAGCCGGCTGGCGTCTGGCCCAAGGTCATTCTGAAAGGGGCCAGGGCCTCGGCCGGGAAGGATGAGGGAAAACCCCAGCCAAGCTCCGCGTTCAAGCTCTCAGGACGTCTCCAGTGTTTCCAAACACGATCCCACCGGGCTGTCAAAATGAGACCCCGAACTAGGGGAGGGGGCGATGGTCAGGTTAGCCCCAAAACGTTCGCGGGATCTTGTGCTGCTCTCTTCAGGGACCGAGGAGGCGGCAAGGTCCTGAGGGGGTGGCAAGGCCAGAGCCCGGGGGTTGGGACTCGTGGCGACACTATGGACCGGCCGGGGCCACCGCGGGTAACCTCCTTCGGCCGGAGGGTCATGGCCGCGGTGGTAGGCCCGGAGGCCGGCACGGGCCGCGGGTCCCGCGTCGGGAAGGCATCAGCACTCACCCCTGGGCCCGCTGAAGGGTCCCCGGCGAGGGCCCCCGCCCGCCGGCTCCCGGGGCGTTGCAGTGGGCGCTCCCACAGGCCGTTGGCCGAGCGCACTGAGGCGCCGGAGCAAAGCACCGGCCTGAGCGGCCCGCAGCGGGCCGGGAGAGATACGAGAACGGCCGGAACTGGTCCTTGCCGGGAGCCGTAGCTGAAGCAGGTTTGTGGTCATGTGATGCAGGCGAGGGCGGACGTGAGGCTCACGCACAGAAGCAGGGGCAGGGCGACGGCGATACGGGGACATCTTTGTTGAGGGCAAAGAGCGCCAGCTTCAAGCAAGAACGCGTCTGTGGTAGGAGTTTGGTTCACGACTGAAATTTTATTTTATTTTATTTATTTTTTTGGTTCACGGCTGAAATTTTATTCTATTTTATTTTTTTTAAAGATTTACTTATTTCTTTGACAGCCAGAGATCACAAGTAGGCAGAGAGGTAGGCAGAGAGAGAGGAAGAGAAGCTTGCTTCCTGCTGAGCCAAGAGCCCGATGCCGGGGCTTGATCCTAGAACCCTGGAATCATGACCTGAGCTGAAGGCAGAGGCTTTAACCCACTGAGCCACCCAGGCGCCCCATGGTTGAAATTTTAATTGGAGTTCGTGATCTGTAAGACTCACATGTTTACAAGGTAGACAAACCTTCCATAGCCAGTTAAAATGACTATTTTTCAAGACTGTTAGTATCAAAAAATATCTGGTGTGAGGCCTAATACTCCGAATATTTCACCGACTCTGCTGGTGATACTCCGATTTTGATCACTGGTTGAGCTAATTAATTATTAGATGTCTTCCTTAACAGTACCCCTGCCCTGACTGGCTTCACTAATCGCTCAACATGAGAATGATGGAAAAAGAAGTCAGCTTTTACAGTAGTTAGCAGCCTTATTTAGCCTCGGTAGAGCCCTCGCTGGATCTAACCACCCAACTAACTTTCCGTGGGAGATTCAGTACTTTGATCCCCAACATCGGGGCGGTCTGAAGCCCGATGGCGGGATATTTTGTGTAACTAGACTTTAACAAACAGCCGACAAGGACATGCACACGAGCGGGTACTTCTCTAGAATCTAAAGATGCTCCAGAGAGGTTGCTGCTTTTCAAAATAATTCAGGAAGCACTTTGAGAATCATGTTCTTGGGTCTCTTATTAATAGTGGCAAATCATCCTTTTGTAAGAATAGATAGATTTTAGGAATGATGAGTCATTCCAAACCAATTCTTTTGGGGGAAGATAGAAAGACCAAGCTGGGTAGGCTATCCATAACCAAGACTTGTAGCAGTGAGGGCTCTGCTGCTTCCAGCACCCTTCCACTTCTTCGTTTCTTGCCATTTGCTTTTTATGCCTGCCCCCTCCCCACAAGAAAAACGTTTTGAAATAACTTTCAAAGGAAAGTTGTGAACCAGTTGCCAGATCCGAAGTCTTCTTCCTTAATTCTGATCACCCTTGATTTTCCTGAATCATTTGATTCTGTTAAAGGAGTAAGTATGGTACATGAAATCACCAAACATTGGTAGTTGATTCTCAAAGAAGAAAAAAAAAAAAAAAAGGCTTTTTCTCTTCCTTACCTAGAAACTCTGCCCCCTTGTTTTTTTGTGATAAAGCTTCATGCTGGGTCTTCCATCATTAATGTGGACATTCCTGTTTATGATTTAATCCATTATTGACTATCTTTGCACCCATAATTGCCTCAAATCTTTTGTGGGGAAAAAGTGCCATATAAGTCTACATTAATTAACACATCCATTTAGTATCATCCTGTTGCCCTAGTTCTAGCCATTTCTGCATAAGTGTCCCTTTGGAGTTTTGATCCCAACAGATTTCAAACTCAAATTTTCTCCTTCTTCCCAATCCAGATAACTTCACCTGATTTTTTTTTTTTTCAGTTAATGGCAAGATTATTTTTCGAGTCCTCAAGTTTCAGAATTCTGAAGTAATCTTTCACTGTCTCTCAAGACCCCATCCTTTTAGATTCCCCCACCTCAATGCCAACTCTCCACTTTGTTCTGTTCCCACTGCTAAATCACTACCTATCAACTGGGTTGATAACCTTTTAACTGACCTTCCCAGCTCCATTTTTCTCCTCGAATTCTTACCAGAGGTTGGATTCACAAAGAGCCTAGTTTTACAAATTGTGACATCCCAAATTTGAAGCCCCAGGTTTAAAAGAAATTGATGATTTACAGTTCTCTACACAATTCAAAAGTCCATAATAGCAATCCAGTGATTTTTAAAAACATTTGAAATTATGAAATAGCCTGGCAAGCGCAGTGTGTAAAATATTGGATCTTCTAGGTTACTGTTTATATGATCATTCTACTCTTTTTAGAATCTTCATTGCTCTTAGACCAGCCAATGAAATATAGGTTTAACCTATATTTGAAACTCTATGTGATATGGCCCTAATTCCTACAATGCCACTTTATTCATGTTTGTGTGTGTATGCACATGTGATGTTTACATGTACAGAGAATACATGTATCCCATATATTCCTATGTATTCCATGTATGTTCTTATACTCTATATGTTCTTGACCATTAATTATTCTCTGAGATTGCTTCATGCTTTCCTAACTACTTACCCTTATCTGTAATATTCCTGCCACCTGAAATGCCATCCTCCTTCTGGCCACCGTCTGCTTCCTGAAATCCTAACTGTCCTTAAAGGACCACCTAAAATATTCCTTCTTTCATAATTATTTCCTGAGGGCTCCAACTTTTGCATCACTATTTGTCATCTCTTATGGCACTTATTCTGTCCAGTATTATAATTAATCTATGTATTTGCCTTATTTTCTGCCACCAGATTAAGTTCTGTGTTTGAGACCAAGGTCTGTGTCTCACTCATCTGGATGACTTCTGTGGAGCCAGATATCTTGAGCATGATGTAGGTCTTGGGTCTAAAGTGATGAGACCTCTATTTCCTGGTTTGGCTGATAAACCCAATCTCAAAGCAATCGTTTTTTAAAAAGGTTTTGAGCAATGTCAGCATTTTTAGAATAAACAGTCTACAGACACCCAGAGAGGGTCACATTTAACTGGATGTTTAGATTTAGCCTGGTTATTCAAAATCAGTTTCTTTTCTCTCTGTGTTTGGTTGTTTCTCAGTTTCTCAGTTTCTCAGTTTCCAGCGGGCAGAGCTGGGAATACGGTGAGGTTGAACTAGCCACTGTTCATGCTCTCCAAGTCCCCTGTCAGTAGGTTACTAAGAATAGATTATAGACTGATCACAATTTTTCCTTCCAAACAGACTCGCAAGTAGAGAGAACGATCACAAATAAAACATTCATTCATCTACTTGCTATCAGTCAAAATAAGTTCATTTAAATGTATTAACACATTCTGGAGGGACTCAAAATGTTTTCAGTGTACTTTTTGGCCCAGTTATGAAAATATCTCTAAAATATTTATTTGAACAACATTTTCTTTGTCTTCTTAGAACTATTACCCAAGATCACTGTTTAGTTTCTTCCTTTTATAATCTTGTTGCCATTTAACACAGCCCGAAAGTTCCTTACTTACAAGATTTCTTATTTTGTGTATTAAAAGCATTCCTCTTTACCATTTCTGTACATTTAAAATTTTATGAAAGTTTTTCTTTGAATGAGTAATATTTGTATTAGAAATGGGAAACATTTATCAAAATGAATGACGCATACTTTCTGTAATCTATATGTGTTCTTACTGATTTGTAAAAATTTCTTAAACACCCTAATAGAAAATGAGCAAAGATGTGATTAGGCCCTCTAAAGGAAAACAAAAACAGGCACTAATACAAAATAAGAAAATATGAATAAAACTAAATGAAAAAACAAATTCTAATTAATAAAAAAAGCAAATACTAATTAAAAGTGACAAATACGCAGCATCACTGGTAGTGAGCAGACTGTAAATTAAAATGTGATAGGGAAAAGTAAAAGAACAGCTATATCCGGAACTGGTAAAAGCATAGGAAGATGGGTGTTTACATTGTTGCTATAGCTGGAAATTCTAACAACCTTCTTGGAGGACATTTTTGTATGTATATCAAAGACCTAAGATCCTGTGAGTTATTTGATTCTGTAATTTTCCTTCTACCAATTGATCCTGAGGAAGTAGCTGGAAAATGTGAAATGAAATGTGTACAGTATTTCCATAATAAAACTAAATTAAATGTCCATCATAAAACTAAGTGTCCCTTGATTGGGGGATTCACTGACTTATGTAGTAAATCCATGCAATGAACTATGGTGTAAATAAAGATTAGTTCTTGTCTATTGATGTGAAAAAATATCCATAGGGCATTAAGTTAAAAAAAAAAATCTTGTTACGCATAACATGTTTTTATTCTATTTTTGTTTAGGAACATATTTGCAGGGAAGAACTCTGGAAGGACATACACCTTAATTATCTTGGGTGAGGGTGACAGGTTAGATTATGGCAATTTTTATATTCTTCCTAACTTTTGTATTGTCTCTTGTTTTTAACAGCAAACATGTATTATTTTTACAATTCAAAAAATTATTTCCATTTTGAAAGAAAAATAAGACCAGATACAATTTTTTCAATTTTATTTTTAGACAATACAATAAAATAATTTTTAGCTATAATTACAGAAATATTAGTACATTACAATATTGTAATGTCAGGATATAATAATATAAAATATCCAATATATTTTAAATATATTTCATTTGGTTATAGAGTAAACATTAAGTTTAGTTGCAGTAAGTTACATTTGCTGCATAGAAGAATCTTTGTAAGTTAAATTAGCAATTAAATTCAAATTCAGCATTATTGTAATACTTTTATAAATAAGTTACTTAATAATGTTTACCTTGCAAAAAGACCTCTGAGAAATCCATTATTTTAGCACACTGTGAAATTTCAAAGTTGAAGCCCCAATTTGAAAAGAAACAAGTTATTTACATTTTATCTACAAAGTTAAATCTTCATAACATTATAAGTTACTCATAGGCATTTGGAAAGTAATGCATGGAAGCTGTGTTTTAAGGCTCAGTCTCAGAGGTATGATTGAGCTACTGTTCATATGGCTTCTTTGGAATGTAAGGCTTTAGCAACACCTGTCTTCCTCAGAAGTTAAACACTGCTAAGAGGGCAAGAGAACACAGACACTTGGATAAGCAAA